GACTATTATCTGACTCATAAATCATTTTCTTCCTTACCCCTAGATTAGTACGTAACCTCATTTGTTATTTAGTTTCGAATCCATTTTATGATGCAATCTTCATTATCCTCCTATAGACATATATTTTCCATATAACTATATATATGAAAGTACAGCTTAAATAAATGATTTCGTCGAAAAGAAAATTTTCTTCACTGAATTCTTTTTTTCACAGATTGAAATCATGAGTCAGTTGAAGCTAGACCACCATTGAAAACCTGGAAGCACTGGACGACCGTTTCGTCCTAGTATGGGACTCCTCAGCAGTGCGCATCCACGATCCCGCACCACGCGGGGCTCGAACCCAGAACCTACTGGCTCCCCCCCTCGAGCACTTGACCATTAGACCACTGAGCAGGCATACAACGGTGTTAATGTCTAACTTCAGCCAATCCACGAAGTTGCGCTACCATATACCATTGTCATCAGTGAGCTGATATCTCACAACCGACATGATTGTACTCCACTGGCTTCCCACTAGAACTCCAGGAGTATCTCTTGAAGTCAGTCACTAGTGAGCAGATGATTATTATCAGAAGGGGTTTGTGGAGATTTTTTAGACATTTTCACAGATTGAAATCATGAGTCAGTTAAAGCTTCTCCACAAACCCCTTCTGAATTCTTTTTGTCTCCTATCTTTATTCATATATCTTTGTTTCATTATTATCATTACTATTACTATTATTAATATCATTATCATTAATATTGTTATTATTATTATTGGTTTAATATCATTATTAGTCTCCCGAATACACTATTCATTTACTTTGCATTCATCCTATTAAATTCACGTAAACGTTTCACACAATGTAGTCTTCCAGTAAACATTTGATTGAATTAGTAATTGCACTAGTATTTCTCTCACCCAATCTGACTCATTTATTCTGATCATGAAGCGCATAGTTCCACTTAACGTAAACCTGATTTAAGTTCACATTGCATGCTAGTCATCAAAATATTATATTTTATATAACAATCCTAAATTCACATGCTATGACTGTAAACGATGTACATTGCCCTAAACCTGGTCAGTTTTCTCATTAATAATTGCAATTTATTGAAATGAATATTTTCCGTTTATATTATTAGTCTTTTAATATGATGGGGATTTTTAAACAATATGTTAAGTATATTTTATTATGAGCTTTCACAATCTCATAATGGGTTCATAACATTTGGTTGAAAACACCTAACACCTTTTCGTTTTTGTCCACACATTCAACATCAACCAATATTTGTGCGTTTCGTCATAGATATATGTTGCATGGGAAACCTTGGTGGATGTGTATTTCATCTTCATAGATTATGGATACTAATTTCATTCTTCCAAATGTTTAATGAAGAACTTCATTCAAATGAATTCTCTCATTTTCAAGTAATTTGATGACAAGCAGAATAAATGAAAATCAGTTAATCTACTAGATAGTTAACCGTGTTAGCCATAAATGACCGAGAATTAAAGGAACCAGGGCATTTGTATGCGTTTTCTAATCGACATGTATTTTAAATCGAGTCTGGTTATTAGGATGAAGGAAGTGAATAGTGCTTTTGAAATGTATCTCTCGTTACCACCCCTATTAATGGTACTGAATAATTAAGATAGAATTAAGCAACAATATGTAGACATTTGATTCCCACAATCAACTATAATGTTCCTGAAATAGATTTTAGAATAGGTTCATTATTCACAAAGTAGACAAATAAAAAACATATTACTTCCATAGAAATTGTGATAAACAAAGTGGAAGTTTTTCTCTACTGTTTAGACAGGTGTCAACATTTCTGATTTGTGACTTTTCCTGCCTATTGATTCCACATCTCTATGTATTGCTTACAATAAGGACAGATGAATTCCTAAAACGTTGACCCCATAAGACGAAAGTGGAGTGGTAAAATAACTATTGGAAATGGGTGGCATTAAACAGACTTCAAAATCCTATTGACTCATCACGCTAACTAACACTTAACGTAACGTCCGTGGTACGTTGAATGAGAAATTGATTTCAACAGCAAAAGTTTATCTAGAACCTATTGTCTAAAAGGGTTTTTCGATGCAAAAAACAAGAAAGAAACTTGAATAATGACCACAGAAATTTCGTTTTCTAAATGTACATTAAATGAGTCTGAAATTTTAGACTGGTAAAACTTTCGGTGTACTTAATAGCGGTCTGTCCGAAGCAACTACGTGTACATTCTTTGCAGCAAAGCTAAAGCCAACTATCAAAACAAAAATCTATCTTCAATATCATTAAAAAATATGACCCTGTATTTGATCATCCTAACATTCATCTGTCAGTTCATTTATATTTGTGGAGCAAGGTGCATAGGTCACAGTCAACACTTTTCCATGGACATAATGCTGTTTGATTCCTAAGGGCAGAGTGGAAAACGGTTAGAAGTCCCATTCTTGAATATCTAGTAAGCTGTAATCATGTGACTGATTTGGAAACTGTCTATAAGGTTTTCCTGAATCTTCGATCACCGCTTTCTGTAACGACACGTGCTTTACGTAAACCACAATTTTATTTGTATAAGTAGTATGGTATGCCTTTTTTACCATGACCTTAACCTGTTATTGTTTTATTATCTATCTTTTCAAAAATATTGTATTTTAAAATGTCCTTATCTAGTTTTAAGGGTGTAAGATTTGTTATTTTCCTTCTCCTCAACATCCATCTGTACCTTCATAATACAATTATACAACTTCATACGAAATTTGTTGAAAAGGCCGTCCAATGCTTCCAGGTTTTCAATGGTGTTCTTGCTTAGATCAACTGGTGGATTCGACTGTTGAAAAGTGATACGTCTACTAAATTTCATTTGTTTTTATGTTACAATGAGAGTGAAACTGTAATGTTTGTTCTGTAAAAAAATAGTTATTTTGAAACATCAATATGCAGTTACATTTTTTTGCACATTAATTGTCTAAGCAGATCTCTGAATAGTTTAACAACATACAGGTTTCCTTCACTAGCTTACAGTTGAGTTCATGCGGCCAGGTAATAAAAAATCTCGATATAAGCACTTACATGTAGTATAAAAATATCTCACAATATTTTACAACTAGTCCTTATTTGTATACAAAAGTGTAGAACATGTGCTAGAATATGTGCTATTCAGTGACTGGAGTACTAGATACAAAGCCTTTTGCGTTATCCCAAATGATAAATTCGACAACAAATTCATTATTGCCTTTCTCGTTCGTCGTATGGCTACTGACTAATTATTCAGTAGGCATCAAAAAAATATATAAATGTTCTCACCATGGTTGTCTCAACCGTAACATAACCCGTACAATTATGATATCCTGTAAAACTTAAGAACTGAATATTTATGCAATGTTAAGCTGTGTTTGTAGATAAAATACTTCGAAAACATTTGTCGTTTTCGAATTGGTTTCTAAAACGCTTCATTGAACTCATTGAAGTAGTCAAGAATGATATTTTGAAAGTACAACATGGAATTTTACTATTCCAATGCAACCATTGAACATATGTGCTTTTTTGCTTTTCAATCAATAACTCACTATGATAAATATCAATGTGTGCAGAGGTCATCAAAAGGATTGTTTGAAAATCCTGCATTCCGTGATATCAGCGTTTTGTGCATAATGTCATAAGACGTATTTAGTATCAAGTCGTTTACTATGAAACATATCATATGACTATTTCAATCCCTTTCACCTTCACCAGAAGAATAACTACTTAATTGGAAATCCAGTTTCCTCAGCTTTGCCATTTCTTCTTGAATGAAGAAGTCTGGATCGAATGTGTCTGTTATTATATTTTCATACTGAATAAAAACATAATCCACTCGATCTTCAATTCTTTGTTTGGCATTTTCGTTGCACTGAGTACTTACAATATACAGCTCGATAATATGAACCAGAAATCAATTAGTGTGTTACATAAAAACAACATTTAGTATGCATATATTTCTTAAGATGTTAAAATACTTAGGATGTAGGTCTAATATTTATCACGAATTCATTGATGTTAATGGGCACTGTTTTGTGTTCAACAAATCCTCGCTAATCGCTAATATTTACTTACTGTGGTCTCAGGTAAATATCAGTAATAGAAATTAAATTATTTCACTAAATTTACCATTCATTTTATCATAGTTTGGTTGGTATACCAACTGCTCATCTGCTGATGGTTTTCATTGTCATTGAAAATATCTAACAAGACCTTGCTCAACTTTATTAATCTGTGTGAGGAAGCATTTACTACTGCAGCGCGATACAGATTGTTACCAACTGATATAGTAGAGAAATATAAAAAGTAAAACCAATGTTCGTAATAATGTTGTATCCTCTTTCACTTGGAAGAACGCTGGATTTATAATTGAGTGAAGTTCCCTGTCCACTGAATAGATTGATATGCAGTAACGAAATATCTGAGACAACATATCCAGTTGACTTCCTTTTACTTTATCAATCTGTGTGAGGAAGCATTTAGCCTAGAGAAAGGTCTTTAATTTTATTCTTATGTTTTATTTCCTGAAATACTAGTATGCAAATTCTACTGACTATATTCAAGTTGCATCAGATGACTCAAGTATGTGTTGAAAATCTAATTTATCCTTCACTAAAATAAGGGTCATAGTTCGATGGTCACCAGCTATGGTATAATTATCAAATAAATTAACAAACTTCTTGAAACTAAACTTCGAGATATTACTGAAGCTGTAATTTACAAAAATCCTGTTCTTACACTAGAAAATAGTTAAATAACAACCAACAGTCTGCTAAATTTCTACTTAAGCCACTCTTCATTAGGTCAGAATATAATGCAAATGTGATTAATATGTACTTTATTTAAAACGGTTAATTGTAGGATAAGTAATATAATAGAAAATTAACTAAATGTTCTATTATTGCACACAACATAAAATGAACACATTGAAAAGGCACAAATATTTGAACAAAGTTTGTATTCCAACTGAAAGTGATTGATCGGTTAAAAAGGCTTGATGTTTGGACAGGTGTTAGTCCAGTCTGCCAGTAGAAGTTCATTTGCATAAATTGCGTTGATGCATACTATAGGAGATGTATGTAAAAACAAACAAGATCAAACGGTGGTCAATCAGCTGATAAACTCACTTCTCAAACTTCAAACCAAGTATCACTTTTGATAGACATATTTCGAATGTTAATAACAGAACTATAACTAAGCTACGATGTGTTGGCGAATGCGTGTTGTATCCACGGTATAACCAAACACGCATGTCATAGAAATCCGGCTATCTGCTGTAATAATTTCTATAATAATCTATCTTATTTAAACAATACTAGATGGTAGAATGCAGTCAAACCAGTATACAATGAGTAAAATCTTACAACTATGCAAACGGTGGGATCAATCAATAGAAGTAAACCAATTCAGATTAAAATTTGGTTGTTTATCTGTGTGCACCTCAATAAAATAATGTGAATGTAGTGTTGACATCTTCATTTGAGCATTAAATTACAAAAATTAATTTATGCATTATTAGGAATTAATAAAGTTACTATTTAACGACAACCGTGTGAAAGACGAATGATGTAGTCATGGAAAAACCGACTATATGAGCAATAAAAATCACACATATTGTTATTGCTATCTACTGCATATCACAAGAGATATGTGTTCGGTTGGAATTGTCATGACTCTTATCCTTGAAGAAATATTGAAAACTCTTAGGTTTTGATGCACACTTTCATGTGGGATGACAGAAAACACGTTTGAGCATCTGGTTACTACTATACATTACTTACCATTCCATTGATTAGCCACTCGCATCTTGCAAAATGACTCAGACGGTGTATTGTCAATTGATCCAGTTGATGAAATCCATGGTATGACACTTGCTGTAATGATTTCAGTCGACGTATTCAAAGTTCTTTGGTACATGAATGAGTTGATTGAAATCCATGTTTTCCCCAAATCCTTACTCATCATTACACCTCCACCATTTGCTCCCAAACCGAACAATATGCCAAGTGGATTTGTGTACGCTATAACCTGTTCAACAGATGGTCCGACATCTGAGAATCGAAAAGAAATCAGTCGAAACATATCTAACATTGTTTTGTCAAAATAAGCCTAAACAAAATTTTCGATGAACCTAAATTCTTAGCAACTATGTATTTTATGAATCTGTACAATGGATGTTTCAAAATACTAAACGTTTGTAGTTATGATTTGTTAAAATACTTTATTTGTGCTACATGAACAAAAAATTCTCTTATGACCTTATAAATCAGTTCAAGTAGTCGTGTATAATTAGTAGTAAAATATGAAGAGAATGAATTGTGAATCCTCCTTCCAAGTACAAATTCTGCCATAATTAGCTTGTGATGTCGGTCTTTAATGTAAAACATTTGTTTTCCTTTATTATGATAATGTTTGGTTTTATATATTATGTCTTGTAAACTGAGCCGGATGTTAAGTTGATGCGTTCATGAATAACCAATTTTGATAATTGTTATTCTATCGATTTACAATCTGGTGTCAACAAACTAAGGTAGGTTAGCACATCATGAATGTAGTAAAAATAGGGCAATAAGTAGAATTGGACAGAGGTGGTAGTGGACACTCTCCCGTTACAAAGTGGTAAGCTTTGAATATCAAGAGGTTGATTATTCTGAAGAAATCATCATACTTGTCGATTAATCTAAATCTTAGTTGTGTGGTGTGGACTGCTGAAGTCGACAGATGTAAGTAGTATATGTCATCAGTCGAAATTGAAATGCCAGGTGGTAGGAAGTTGAGATCGAATAAAAGAGAACAAGAATAGCGAATGTTTGGTATGGAAACGAAGAAACAATCAAGTATGAGACGATTTATTGACATTTTGCAAATGAAGTGATTATTGTGTGGTTCTCAGATTTTACTAGGATGTTCTATAATTTTATAATTTTATATTGTAATGCATTTGGTTGTGCCCACTGGTGTTCTTGTTTACTACAATTGAACGAAATAGGTTTGCATTGGGAGAATATTCAGTATTGATTTAAACATATGTTTACTTGTTATTGGGATTTCTGTAGTTTTATAAAATTGAGAAAGGAATTGTTTTAAACTAACATAAACGATAACTTTAAAAACCTCCAATTAACTTTGAGATCCGGGTAAACAAACTTTTTCACCAGTGTATTGCTGGGACGGATGAGAGACTCAGTAGACGCCCAACTTCGAGATCAACAGACTGGATTCCATAAGGATTGGTCGTGCACAAACCAAATCGCTACGCTTCGGATCATTGTTGAACGATCAATTGAATGGAACTCGTCACCATACATCACCTTCCTTGACTATGAGAAGTCGTGTGACAGTGTGGATAGAAGGACTTTATGGAAACTTCTGCGACACTATGGTGTACCTGAGAAGATTGCCAATGTCATACGGAAGTCATTCGACGAAATATACTGCAAAGTGGTGCATGGATATGCTTCGCACATGACCTAACCCTTCTATCACATACACATCAACAAATGCAGATGAAAACAGCCAGTGTTGCTGTAGCCTGTGCATTAGTAGGCTTCAACATACTCAAGAGAAAAACCGAGATCCTCAAGTACAACACAGAGAACACCAACCCAATCACACTTGATGAATAGAAGGCCTGGATGTGGTGGAGACTTTCACGTACCTGTGGTGCGTCTTCGATGAACAAAGAGTATCAGATGCAGATGTAAAGGTGAGGATTGGCAAAGCAAGGATAACATTCCTTGAATTGAAGAACATATGCAACCCAAAACAACTCTCAACCAATATCAAAGACATAATCTTCTATATAAATGTCAATACAGTTAGTTCTATTGTACGGAGCTGAAACGTGTAGGAATACTACAACCATCATAAAGAGAGTGCAAGTATTTATAAACAGTTGTCTACGAAAGATACTCAATGTCTGTTGGCTGGATACCATCAGGAACAACTTACTGTGGGAGAGATCAAACCAATTTCCAATTGAACAAGAAATTATGAAAAGACGATGGAAGTGGATAGTACAGTCGTTGAGGAAATCATCAGACTGCGTCACAAGGCAAGTGCCAACTGGGAATCCTGAAAGCAAGCGGAAAAGAGGAAGGTGGAATAACACACTACGTCGCGAATTCGAAGCAGACATGAAGAGAATGAATAGGAATTAGATAGTGCTGGGAAGGGTTGTCCAGGACAGAGTTGGATGGAGAATGCTGATGGGTGGCCTATGCTCCTACACTAAGTGTAACAGACGTAAGTATGTAGTTTTAAACTTCAAATATCCACTGTTGAATAATAAAACACAACAGATTGTCTATGATTACTTACCAAACCAAATTCTTTCAGGCAATTTACCAATCTTGAAACATCGTCTCACCAAATCTAATGAACCCTTCATATTAAACGCACGTGCACAATAAAACAAAAGATCACCAACATTTAGAAATGTATTTGCTTGACGGTCGGGCAACTGTACCAAAGGGTTCCGCATTGCAACGTAATGAGGTAAGTTGGGAGGATCTGAATGCAAAAGGTCAATACAAGACAATGTTGTTGAATAACACATCACAGAGTCACTGAGAATTATTTTAACTATCCCAAAAATCAATAAAATGATAGAGAATTCTTTCACAGTAATGTGATCTGGCTGTAGATAAGTAACCAATGACAAACATTCCTCATGGTTATGGTTGACAAAATTCGCGGTCATTCTAATAGAAGAGTGTAAGAGAACTGCATATAGTTACAGTGCAAACATATTTAGTTGATACTTCTCAACAAGGAGATCAGTGTTTTTCTTTTCATCTTTTGTTTGCGATTGTACATTACTAGCAGTTTTGTATGATCAAATGAAATATCATCATGGAAAGCCTTTAAATAATTGACGACCCTATATGAGGACTAACTCATCTTTCTCTGAAAGCAATTAACAAGCACCTCACATTTTGAGAATGATTGTGGTTTCAGTAGCATGAGAAAATTCAGTAAATTATGATGGCTTGTAAAGTTGTATTTGTATGTGTGAATACTTGATGACAGTATGATAATCGGATGCAATGCAAAGATTGAAATCTTTTTCACAACAGCGGAAATTTTAACAGCATTTTCCATTTAAGGTAACGTATCCGACGTACAGGGTAAACTTATTCCCTATAATACAGTCATTCCTTGGTAGGTAGTGTTGATTTATAATCATAACATGAATTTGGAAAAATACACACCGATAAAACTCACAAGTGTAGTCAAGTTGAACACGTAGATGAGATTTAAACTTGTAAAACTTTTGTTTTGCACAGCTATTCACTACGGGACTACCACGTTCATAGGGTTTGCACACGATTTCGACTAGAATTGGATATTTCACAATGGTTGTACTACGAGATGGATTAAATTTCAGACTAAAGATGACTTCATACTTTGCACCAAAATATAAACGTCCTGCCTACAACGAGAAAAATAACATCCTTAAGTGTTGTTTCAGAGCAAGAGTTGATATATGTTTGAAATTCATGTTTCGTTTTGTAATATGAGACGATTCCAAATGATGACTAACGTAGGCAAAGCAAACTAATGTAATTTACCTCCCCTATGTTTGGTGAACGGAATTGTACAAACTTTGAAAGTTTCATTGGCACAGTAAATGACAGTGAATGATGATATTAGATCGATCTCGTGCTCTCGGTTAGGCAAATGAAGTGATGTTTCGATGGATTTAAATGAGTTTGAGTGTTTGACGAGCAATATTGAAAGTATTTCACAGTTGAAACTTAAAATTTGAAATGACTGCAGTGGTTAAATAGATTTCCCTCGAGTTGGAACTATATACAACAATTAATGGTAAACAGATATGAAACATGGAAGTGAGGTGTTTTATCTGTTTCCTGTAATACCTACACAAATACAACTTTTGTTTTAGAAAGGTGATATTTCACTTGTAAAATCGAAATTTGAAATCGAAAATGTTCGACTATGACCCAGAAGCTGGTAGAAGAAATATTATTTTTATGTAGCAATGCGGTTAATCAATGAAATCAAATGATGAAGTGCCCTTAGAATACTTCAGTGATATTGCGCAACAAAGATTACAAACAATTTATGGATCATGAAAACTTCACGATTCAGTTGACTGAACGTTTGCCATTTTTGGTTAACAGACCGAATGGATGGAAGTTATCATTAACGTATTTAGTGTTCAATAAATATGACGTATACAGTATTTTCTAGTACCTTTTAGTTCATTTACTGAGTGGAGTGCTATGTAGGGAATGTAATTTTGATCGTAAGTTTTATTTCAGGCATTAGATTTCAACGAGTTTGTGTTTTCCATCCGGTATGTCGTAATGCGCAACACTAGCATATTCATAGCAGATAGCTGCAGACAACTTCAAACGTCTGAGACAAAAACTAGTGATAGTTTTAATGTTGTATGGAGTACTCACTCACACGTGAATGTGCATGGAAATTGAGCACTTATCGAACATTGAAGACGAGACTGGTAACTTTAGTTTATTCATTATGTTGATCAAGTACAAAATGATCGCTAAAACGTTGTAATATACCTTATGGAAATAAGTAGTAATTGGTTAGTGAGTTAAGATAGAAATGTTTGATTATAATGAATAGAAGTGATTATATTATGTTATAAAATGATTTCTGCAAGAGACGTCTACTCTGATTTGTATTGTTTGTTTAAATCTTTCCACTGTTGCTTAGAACAGCCATTTTTTAGTCTCTTATTGACATGCGTACATCCTGTGGGGATTGCTTCGATATTGCCTAAAGTCACAGGCATTATAAGCAGGGGTGGATGATGGTTTGCAGTCCTATTTGAGACTCGTCCACGATTGCACCGCTCGTCACCATCCAATTTTCTGATATAACGGATTATTTAAAATATTCTTTTCTCTCTCATGTTTACTACAATAATATAACTAGCCACGCTACATCAGAACCAGGATTCATCACGCAGAATAGGAAACCAGAATAACACTAGATAATACCTCATTCAATACAGTTATAAACAGTCACACCCAGTGAATCAGGAGTAGGATTCAATAAGTTTGAAAGAACTCACATATAAAAAGGATTCAGCAAAATGAAATTTCTTTTCCACTCAATCATTTACTCAAACTACACATTCGTATTTATAGTTATATGGCAAATATATGTCCATAGAAGGATAGAAAAGATTGTATCATAAAGTGATTCAAGATTCGAAATATCAAATGCAGTTGTGTATAATGTTGTCGACTATTCAGTTACATGCATTATTACTTGGTCCTCAATTTTGTAGTACTTCAACTATCATTAATGAACTGAATATGTAATCACGATACTTATAACTAGACGACTACCCTCAAAAGAACATAAGTCTCAGTTATTTCATCCTCTGAAAAATCAGGATTTAGTGCAGTGTTACCTAGATAAGGTTGCACGAATTGTCCTTATGGATGTTCAGCACTATGTCACCAAACTATCCTTGATAGTATCTGATGCTGTCAAATTCTCTAAGATGCGATTGAGAATACGGAACAGATGGTAACCAAAATCATGAGGCAGATGGAAGATGACTTTAATATTAATTGTGACCTCTATGAACGTCTTAGACCATCATGTTCCACTATACTAGGAATATATGAACTCCCAAAAGTTCAGAAGAAGAACATCTCCCTATGTTCTATACTTGATATGAATAACTCTCTATATCATTTGTTTGCTAAATGGTTTGCTGACATTCTACAACCCGTGAGAAATCACATCAATAGATACAACGCTCATGATTCGTTTGATTTTGTCGATTCAGAAATATCATTGTAAATGATCTTATTGTATGGCACTTCTCTCTTTACAAATGTTCCACTCACAGAAACCATGTGATTTTTATGTGACGATATTGAAATAACAACATTGATATTAGTACCCTAAAACATTATCTAGAAGAGCTATCTCTACGATGTACCCTCAATGTGCGATTCAGGTTTATTGATCATTTCTATGGACAAACCGATGAAATTGCAATGGGTTCACCACTATCTCCCTGCCCTCTTGGCTGATTGTTTCATGGATAATCTGGAAAATACAGTACTTCGACCGATAGTTGAGAGATTTCATTTATCTAAGAGATGTATGGATGATAGTTCATGGTATTAGTGACTGATAATCGGTCTCATTTTGCTGCAGACACAGTCACTACCTGGTTGAATGGTATAGGGTGTAGACATCTGTTCACTGCTTCCAGGCACGCTTGTTCTAATCGTCAGGCAAAACATTTCGTCAGGACATTGATAACTGCAATTACTGCTTCCACATTTGATGAACTGGAGAGGGGAGTAGACACAGTTCTACTGCAATATAGAAATGCTAAGCATTCTGTAACGAAAGAGATTCCAACAAAGCTGATAAAAGGAAGAATCCTTCATTCGAATATAAGGCGTTTAGAGTCTCCATGTGTTACATTTTATCGTGGAAATAATCTTCGACCAGTCATGAAAATTGTGGTGAAGAATGTTGCAAAATCTATGATTGAAATCCTAGATATCAATGATTTACGTTCACACAACCGATATGTTGATCAAATACAATCCCAGGAACCAAGTGAATCTGTTCCAATTCCGGTTTTTAATTCTAATACTAATGAGCACATCCTAGATCATGCAGAATCTACATCCAACATACAGTCGGACAAACACATGATGAACTTAAGGAAAAGTGCAATCGATTACAGAAATTTAGGTTCCCATTTAAGCTGTGGTGGTTGTGGTATTTGTACAAACTAATGATTGCTTTGTACTTGATTGCCCGCTGATTATCAATTCCAAATATAACGCGTTCCCTTGTCTCAGCTTGTTCTACTTGAGTTAAATTGCTCTATTTCGGGAGTTCTTAGTTTTGCACATAAATTCGAATACTTCAGATTAGCATATACTTTCATAATTTGTGGAGAAAAAATGGATCTCAATGAAATTTCGTATTGGTTCAATAGTTGTCGTCACTCAATTTAATTCATGTTGGAAACAGAGGCGAATGAGGAATTTCATTTTCTTGATGTCCGGTTGAAAAGAAGTTCATATGGTTCTTTACAGTGATCTATATTTAAAAACCGACCTGGAATGGTCGGTATACGGATTTCCATAGTTGAATCTTATTGAGTAGAAAAAGAAAATTGATTCACTCTTTAGCCTCAAGGCCTAGGGGAATGTTCTGATGATGAAGTGGTTGACGAACTACTTCAACTTTGACAGACACCCATCAGAAATGGTTATCCACCTAGATTAGTAGATAGGAACTTAACGACAAGACATCCTAAAAACAGCACCGACAGTTCAAAAGAAGACTTATTCTGAATATTGAGTTTAAAGGAGATAAGGATGCCGAAATCTTTATACTACGTATTTCAAAATCCCTGGATAAAACCTACTCAACTACCATTCACAGATATTATACGGATAAACTTCCGCTTTTGCTTATGTTGATGTGCATCTATATATCTACTTGTTCCTGTGGAGCAGGTTACATTGGCCGCATAAAGCGATCACTTTCTAAACGCATCTTAGAACAATACCTGACCTGACTTGTAAAGGGAGAATGCAAAACAGTTACCAGTCGATACAGAAACAATTAATAACCAAAGGAACTGGGTCGAAGGAAGACCGAGTCAAAAACTTATGCACTGTTGAGGCGTTGGCAATCGACAAATCCGAGCTTGAACTTTGCATGCAAAAATAACATGTGCACCCACTCATTCTCTCTTAGCTCTAAGTGACTTCTGTGGTATGCTTTGGTCTTGCTTTCTCTTTTTAAATTATTGTTTCGCAGTTTCAAACTGTAGTCAGTTATAAGCAGTGATGATGGTGGCTAACAGTGGGAGACAAGACGCGTGTTTCACCCTATTTGGGACTTGTCAGCTGGATGTATGTGCATCCCAGTTATTATTATACTCCAACAATTTTTCATTATTATCATTATTCAGTTATTACTTTCACTTTTGTGTTTACCATTTCCCTTCACATCTGTAAAGCGGACAATTGTCTTTCATAATTCTGACCTGTAAATTATTCTCGTCCCTCCATTCTTCTCTCTCGTTTGATATTTGGAGTGTCGAATCACTCCATGATGAGAACACCATATGGCTCGGAGAATAAAACTCCACCAGAATGATCTACCTGAGCTACAAATCGTCTCCACAATCTCAAATCTTTTTTATCCTACAGACATATAATTACGATACAACTATAAATGTGAATATTTAACTTAAGTAAGTGATTCGTGAAAAAGAAAACACCTTTCGGGGAATCCTCTTTATGTTTATGCAATGACAATGAATTGTTTCAAGAAATCACATATTTAATAGTCGGTAGGCTATGCTTGTTTGTCCACACTCAACAACCAATCATACTTCAATTCCAATATTTCACATAATTAAATTATTGTGTGTTTCATATTTGGTTCTCAATCGTTTGTCTCATATTGAGTATCTGAGGCCCTTGATGCAGTACTGTGATCCATCCTCCTGGCATGGTCTATTATCAATTTGTCACATTCAACTGGCTAATTGTTGTATAACTTGGTATTAAATATAGGACCGAAGAAAATCACTCGTTTGTGTTAGATCATTATGTACAATTATCTCATGCATCACTTAAATCTAGAAATCCAAAATGTGTATTTCTCAATATTACCAGTTATTCTTTTCTTCAGCTAATATGATTATGTTAACGGTTTTAGACTAGTTGATGATGATTTCATTTGCAATCAGAAAATTAATTCAATCCCTTTAAATGCTTCAACTAAATTTTGAGTGAGTTAAATTGAATAACATTATTTTCAAAATATGTCTTGAAACACAGAAACTTACTATGAACTGAACTGATTTAGATACTGGGTTTAAAGGAGTTTTCAATGTTACATTATCTATGTTCCCTGTTTGATTAACTACAATGATTGATTTTATTTCTGGACTGAGATAGAAAATTATCGATTGTCTTTCACATTCCAATCCGGTACCATTCATCATTTGAACGGTTGTCTGAAGATACACCACATCTCTGAGTATTGGATTAAACAAAATGTATAATATGTAGAGAGTTATTTCAAATCAATCAGTAAAACAGTTCAAATTTTGATGATTCAATTCAAATGGTGGTTGGATTCGACATTCGGTTTTACACGCCTTCCAATCTAGTTTGATAGGATTAACTGATTACAATCAGCAGAGAAATAGCAAGAATATTTATAACTTCGGATCTACTTAGATTTCAGTATTTAAATATTTTAAGTACAGCGTAGACGTGTATAGCTCGAAAAGCGTGAAATTATTAGAATTTTGCACAATAATACGATTTTTTATTGCTAACCTAATCATATAATGTCGAGTATTGTCAGAGATCTTGTAAAAAGTAAAATGAATTATTTTTCTTAAATTCGAAGAGAATTATTTTTGCTGTTGATGTAAACGAGTGTGTAGTTCCATCAGTTAAATGTTCCCAGCTGATTGTTTACTGTGTATCAGAAATATATAACATAGTTGGTTCATGAGGAAACATGATAACATTAGGTCAGTTTGTTGAAATTGAATCAAATCCAGTAACTGTTGGAGGTATCACGGAGAACAATGTCAAATTTCTGTCTTCTTCATTGCTCCATTTTTTTCACTTTTCAGTGAACGTGAGTTTAGTTGGTTCGAAGTAAATGGTAATGAATAAAAAGCAATAATAACGCAATAATAACGAGGTTCGAAACCAATTTAAGAAATAAATAAAACTTATTCATTCGGTCACTTGAATTCGGGCATGATATTTGTATTGCTTGGTGGATAACAGATAGATCTCCAAACTCTTTGTTCAAGACCAAAGTTTGTACTCTTCATGTGAGTAGTCATCAGCGTAATCGTTTATATGGAACATTATTATGGGCATTTGGACACTATCTGAACAATACATTGACTGTTTTATATAAAATTGATATTCAAGTGAAAAATGAATTCGCGTTAGAAGTGAACCAACTATTCCATGAAATAAATATATACTAAAGGTCAGAACGACTTAAACATACCTATCAGGATAATCACTGAATGTGAACGATGACAGTTGAGATAGTACAACCTGAATTGATGGTTTTTCTGACCCAGTTCTTACACAATATACAGATATTTTGCTAATATTAGTGACAGCATTGAATCGACCAGTGATTTGCAACGGCCAAACAGTTCCGTTTTCCACAATTTTACTATCACTCAACTGGATATCCACTGAAAGACTGAGAGTGTTTCGCATTAAGGGTACACTTACCGTACCTAAAATAGGTGATAATTTTTATTAGATAGTGCATTGAAGAAGACGCTGAACATTTTATTCACTCTGAATTAACAGCTAGTGTTTTAAATATCAGGACTAAATTGGTTAGGAGCTAACCAAGAACAATAAAATTCAAAACGATACTCTCAAATAATCAATCAAGTAGTAAGTTACAATACAATGGAAATTGGTGACAAACAACAAATCAATTTATTTTATTCCACTTCACATAATGGCAATGATTTTGTTTGCATCTTTATGAGATATCTTGGATACTGTTTGTTATTAACCTTCATTGTGGAACATTTTCATTGTTTACACACAGAAAGAATTTATCTCGCTGTCTTCGTTACTGTAATGTAAGGGTGAGATGTCTTTTTTTATATAAAGTTTCCTCAAGATTTGGGCCATATCCACGAATGTTTAACAACATTCTTCTGATTGGAGAGAAATTAAAGGACAGTATTCAGTTTACTACTTATCTGGTGTTTATTAGTTAAAACATGTATAAAGCGAGGTGTTTTTGACTGTGAGGTAGACTATTAAAAATTACAGGATGAAATGAAGATCAAAATTTCAAGGAAAACAGTAAGACAGTGTTGTGTTTTTCGTCAAATTTAATTCCAAAATACTGGTATAGGGGTTGTGGAGATTATTAAGTTTTTGATTGAGATCATGAACCGATTGATGTTAGACCACCACAATTGAAAAGCTGGAAGCACTGGACGGCCGTTTCGTCCTATTGTGGGACTCCTCAACGGTGCGCATCCGCCATCCCGCTCGCGGGTTTTGAACCCAGGGCCGTCGGTCTCGCGCGCGAACGCTTAACCAACTGGACCACTGAGCTGGCATACAATCGTGATAGTTTCTAACATCAACCAATCCACGAAATTGTGCGACCAACTTCCGTTGTACTGAGGTAGATACCTGAATTCTCGGAGTTCTAGTGAGAAGCCGTGACCAGTGGAGCTAATCCTTGTCGGGTAGAGACAGGTATCTAAATCAGAGCAACGGAAGTTGGTCGCACAATTTCGTGGATTGGTTGATGTTAGAAACTATCACGATTGTATGCCAGCTCAGTGGTCCAGTTGCTTAAGCGTTCGCGCGCGAGACCGACGGCCCTGGGTTCGAAACCCGCGAGCGGGATGGCGGATGCGCACCGTTGAGGAGTCCCACAATAGGACGAAACGGCCGTCCAGTGCTTCCAGCTTTTCAATTGTGGTGGTCTAACATCAATCGGTTCATGATCTCAATCAAAAATTCCAGAATACTTCAACTTATTTCAGTTTTTAATCATGTGTTTCAGTTATATTTTGAAAGATATTTTCTTGCCTAACTTTGATCTTGTACACTGGTGTGGTGTATGCCACTTATGTCTGTTGACATAATTAATGTGTAACACCAATCAGAAGTGGAATGGCTGAGCCGAAGGTTGAGAAGATCGAATTGAAGAGAATGGGAATGTAGAGAGAGAGAGAGAGAGAGAGATTGTAATAGCAATGAAAGAATGATGGAGTTCGTTCACTACACTAGTAATATTCTATTCGACTTAGATTTTAGACTTTCGTTGTAAGGATAATTCAGTCTTGAAGTGTTAAGGAAAATATCATACACCTTTGTCACATGTCATCTAAGGTAATATTGTGATAAAATATTTTAACTGCAAAAGAAGTTGCATAACACTATCCGTTAAGAATAAACATATTTTGCTCAAATTGACAAGTGTAATATTTATGATATTTCATGAATTAAGAAACATATCTATGATATTGAATTTTATTAGTGTAAGTAATGACAGTTACCCAAGAAATAGGCATATATGAACTGACAAACCGTAGTTTTTCATTAAACTCACCAATGTTTGTGATATTTTCGAAGTATATTAACAACTGATCATTTTGATGGGTTGGATAAGTTGACAAATAATTAGATGAGTAAGCAGTTGTTGTGTAAAATAAGTTAGAACCCAAACTTATTTTAAAATCTGCAATAGTTATTATAGATTCATTAGTGTTGTTGCTTCCAGTTCCACTGATTTGTATTGTAGATTTCAGATAGGTGGAGTTCAGTGGGAATATATATTTCACATTGATAGTTGTTATTTGACCTGGCTGCAGCGTTACACTAGATGGACTTACTTCAATCATAATCTGAAATGAAATATTGTAAGCTTTAATCTAACAAAACTGGTTGACTGTTATTTAAGGTACAAATTTTGCTTGCAGTAAAAAGACAATTTCAAAATGACAAGTTTTTATCTGATGTTCTGTACAGAAGTTTTAATGAAACACCGTTGCATCTGATATCAGATACAGACTTGAAGTATTATGTGATTTTTGTGGTTTGTTCAATATCTCAACCTAGGTTTATGCATAGACATTTGATTTCAAATATTGTCAATGTATTTAAGACGAATAAGTGGAAGTTACAATCCTGACTGTTAAAATTCATCGTTAGAATTCATGGTCTTAACCTTCAACCAATTAATGTAGTTAAGAAGCATGTTTAATCATTCTCAGTGACAGTTTATAGAGAAATGTTATAGTAATTCATCAGTTTTATGTTGAAAAGTATACTTTGATTACTTTGCTTATATATTGGGTGATCGAGAAGTAATATATGCTTTCTCTACTCAGTTGATATTATTTCGCCAGTTATTATGGGCTTCATTCCTATTTTGCTGTTTAACATGATATACAGTGATTGTTCTATACTTCATGGTCTGTGTTGTCCTTAAATAGTTTAATCAATTTCTGTTAATATGGAACTACCATTCACAAGTTTTGTTTAATGGATGATCTTACAAATTCTGTACATCTGTTTGTTATGTAGCATAAATTCCATCTTACATGATCGTAAAATATCACTGAAAACTTCATTATATCACATAATTTAGTGAAATTGATTTTTTGAGACGTGTATTCTTCGAAAAATTAGTCTAATGCACACTGAAATACAAGTGACTTGTCATTTTGATTAATTGGAATAACCTTAATCAATATTATAACAGACACATTGTCTCTGTTCATTTCGAATATGAACAACAAACAGAAAACTGAACACCATTGTTGTCAATTGGTTCGTTACCAGACTTAGCTCTGATATGCAGTTCTATTTATATGAAAGTTAATTCTGATGAAAATCTAATGGTAAACTACATTGTGTGGTTCTATTTTTGTCTTTCTAATTTACATTATGAGAATTTTCAACCATTTATTTTGAAGTTGATTTGAATATCTGTCAGTTACGATCAGGATGCTCAAGCTTTATGCTTTTATCAAATATGTACCGATGGATACCCTTTTTCGATACATATTTCCTTTAAGAGATTCATTTGATTATCTATAATTTCAGGATTAAATATTCTTTGTATCTGTGTGGCGAAGAAAATCATCAAAAAATACAACTGACAAGTGATCTTAATTCAGTCTATGACAAAGTAGGTCAACGTTTTAAATGATTTTGAGATTACTGAAGATACCTGGGAGTGCACAGAGTCAACAGGATCAACAACAACATGAATATATGTTTTGCTTAAACTTTCAAACCTGCACTACCCCTCCGAATAGTTCTTCATTTGTTCGGATCATATTACTACGCTATAGCAAAATGGTTGAGAGATTGCCTGCAACTCATAGGAAAACATATTTGTGTACATTCTCTAAATGACACTCGCGAATTTATTGATTACATACAATAAGTGAATATAAATGACCAACTTATCCTTTTATTTGATGTTCAATTAGTATTCATCAATTCCCTACTCACAAAGACTATTTGCTTCATAAATGATTATGGGATTAATATCGCGCTATAAAAATCTTACTAAAAGGAATTAATATGACGATGCACTTGTGATGTACACTTTAAATTTAGCGACGTAATTTATAGACTAAAAGATAGCACAGGAATGGGATCCCCTCTTGACCGATTACTAGCAGATTGTGTCCAATCTGGAAAACAATGAACTTAAAGCAACTATTGACAACTCCCACTAATATAAAAGGTATGTGAACGATGTCTCTATGATTTGAATCAACAAATATTCTTTGATTATTCATCTTCTGCAAACATTTGATTTTTACCACACAGCGATAAATTTCACACTAGGAGTTGAAAATAAACAAAGTATTGACTTTCTTCATGTCACAGTGACAGTAAATCATGATGAAACTGTAAGAAGTTCTATCTACTAGAAACCTTCATGGAATGACCAGCAATAAAGCCTTCACACCTGGATCCACATCAATCGAAAGCAATATTGAACCACATACTTTGCTACACAGAAATTAAGAATTTGTTGTCTCGAGTTCATAGATAACGAAATGAACCATCTAAAGAGAATAACTGTAGAAAACGGATCTCCATCGGTATTTATTGAAACGAATATAAAACTCAAACCTCCTAAAGCGCAACTTGCTTCCTTACCAAAGAAAACTCTTTACATGAAGATCGATTTCAAAGGTGATATAGCTACAGGCATCCTGAAGAAGGTAATTCCCTACACTCTCAGTAGAATATTTATCGCAATAACTTTGTGACTAGTGTTCTCTAACCGACCAATATTCAGTAACAAAGATGAATTATCACATTGGACTAATTCCATTTCTGTCTATCAATTTACCTGTTGATGTGGAGCCAGGTATTTTGGTCGTCCGATGAGTATTTCATCCAAAAGAATTCAAGAACACTGTCTGAAAAGAGGCGAGAATGGCTTAATAAGAAGCTCAACAATTGAACACCTTGTGAACACAGGTCATTCAATGCAAATTGACTCTGTGTTCAAAGTTATTTGCAAGGTAAGTGGAAAGCTGTCAGAGACAGTTGTATTGGCATTGCAGAGACATCTGCTGTGTATGTGTGTGTACCATGACCTTAATCTCTCGTAACTTTTTATTCGTTCCTTCTTTCATGATCATCTACTTCACTTCTATCTTCACTGCAAACCCTTGATTTTTTTCTGTTTCTGTGATCCTACTAAATAAAATTCATCTCAATTTCAGCATTTTATCTTATCATGCTGAGCTTTCCCTATCCAATTATAATTTCTTTATTTATCTTCATGATGAATATTCAAGATTTCACCAAACGTATTATTATCACTTTTCTTTAGTAAAAAACATGTTTATTTTACCTCACTGTTACCACATTCAGCAAAATTTTTTATCTCTACTATTGTAGTTATGATCACTTTGAAAAACAAGTAAATGTTTGCGATTGTACAGCTTTAAAAATGAATTCGCCCAAAACAGAACCCTTCTCAAAACCAATGCTTCTTATCCTATAGTTATCATTAATGAACTTGGAAAACTAAGATTCTATTTTATTGGATTATCTGTAGATTTGTCTTCGCATTATGTAATAAATTTACGTAAGACATAACTAAATCGGAACTGTGTAAAACAAATAGAAATAAGAAAATGTTTGAGTAATAACAAGAAGTTGAAATTATTTCAAAATCAATTATAGCTTACGTCGGTGTATATTGGGAAACTTGGTATTGGACTCAATACCAAAGTCTGGGCGGTAAAATTCTTTGTACTCCCACTGATATTAACAAATGTTGGGAAAGCGTAGTTTATTGTCGTTGTCACATTGCAATCTCCCATTAAATAAAGAGTATGTTTAAATTGTGTCTACACAATAAAGAAGAATGACACTTTTATGGTGTAAAAAAATAATGCATAAGAGAAAAATGGTTGACCATGGTGTAGTATTGATTTCTAATATCATCAACATATCACCGTTGTATTCGAAGAATTATCTTACTGCTTAAGCGTCGTATCAATCGGCCAAATGTCAGGATTAACATAAATTATGTCTTTTCCATTGATGATCAGTAGGTGAGTTACAATTTCATGAATTTCGTGAATGAATAAGTAAATCCATTTTCCAGAAAATTGGCAGGAAATGAATGAGGATATTAAAATGTGAAATAATCGATCATGAATACATGCGTCATGCCAACAATTTGAATTCGAAATCTAAAAGTGACCTGAACTAACAGTGTGTCACTATCACTCAGTGTTTTCGTTATCATAAAAGTCAAGTATGTTTTTATTTGTAAGTAACCTTATTACTTGACACTTTCACTACAAAGATACTTTATTTATATCTTGTCTAATTCTAGGAAATGCCAATAATTACGTTATGAATTTCGGCAGAAAACCTTAAAATATTCCAATGACGTGTATCTCACCAAGATAAAGACGAATGACTCGATCATTATATATAACAGTTCTAGTTACTACATTTGTTATCAGCAAAACAACGAATACACTAGGATTCAAAGAATGACTGGTGTTTACCATATCATCTCAGAATGTGATCACCATCAAATTCATACGCCTTGTAAGTTTTGCATAATTTCATCATGTGTTTCATGGCTGCAAAATAACTGAGCTCATTCTGATGTTTACCATATTCATCTTCAGATTGGCAGTCGAATGCCTACCATGGACTTCGAACGGCCTAACAAACCATCAGTAGTGAGAACGATACTGACAATAATGGAGTTGTCAACACTAATTAACACTTTACCTTCTGGTGTTCGACTGAACGTCGACTCTGATTAACTCTGTGACAGACGTTTAGAATAAGGGTAGTGGGAAATCCTCACTTTTAAAGCTACTGAGCATGTTTAGACAATCATGTTGAAAGTGAAATCTAGTCCGTGTTAATTTTGATTGGATTCGAAATGTAAACTTTGATTTGTATATCTGTTCCTAACTATACTTAAATTAGTTACTAATTTTTTTGTGTTGTTTGTGACAAAAATTTGTGTAACTATGTTCCATGAAGTTTTTAAGTTTTTGATCGAAACTACTTAATGCATTCATTAGATTGCCATTAACAACTCGAAAATTGGTTTTAATGCATTTTACTGTAATTGTATAAAGGATCAAGCATGTTTATTTTCAATTTTTATGTAAGAACACAATCCCGACACAGTTTTATCTGAACACAGTGTACAACAGAACACTTACTATTTTGTAGACTTACACAATAAAAATCTTGATTGATGAGGCATGATGGGCCGTAATCCACTCTCACATAACTGAAAAAAATAAACAAAAATCATTAATTTTATGGTTTGTTTGTACATATTAGAGGAGTAATGGGGTGTGTTAACCATTGAATCGGTAGGCACAAAAGTCATGCTAATGATGGACAGAAATTTATTTTTTGGTATGGCGTCAACAGAGTAACGATACAGTCGATTGCAAAAAACGTGTGAACCAAATGTTCTCTCTTATTTAAACTGTAATAATTAATATAGACATTATCTAGAGATAGAATCACTATGAAATAATTCGCCGTTTCAACTTTCTAGGCATATATTTACGTTAAAAGCATTGAAATCTTGTTTCACTTAAATCATGAACTGAACAACGTAAGACCACCATTCAAAATCTGAATTGCCATTTCTCCCCAGTATGGGACTCCTCAACAGTTCGCTTTATGTGTACTGCTTTCACGTTTTCAATGATGGTCTAACGTTGTTCAGTTCATGATTTCAATGAAATTCAGAAATCTCTACAACCATATACTAACATCTATGTCATGTGATACACGTCATTTTAAAGACGTGTATATGTGGTCATAGACAAGTAAATTTCTATCACTATTTTATCACATCAACTGGTTTATCACTTTCTCAGTTATTTCATAGCAACATTCTGTTAATGTTTGAAATTGGATAACTTTTAATATTTATCTATGTACTCATGTTTGAGTAGAGTAAAAATGATCATTTTGATGTTTAGAAAATGCTAATTAGAGAGAAGTAATTCTTTTTAACTCTCTCTTTTTCATTATGACTGTACATTGTTTTACATTTTTATCCCATCAGTTCCCTTAACAAATTTAAATGAAGCAAGAACTAAATGAAATGGATGATTTCATGAATTCATCATTGCATTTTACTGCTTCCTCTTCCTCTGTATGAATGTACTGGTTTGGTGGTCTTCAATTATTGACATAATTTGAAATGTGAAAAAACGAATTGCTCTGAAGTAAAAAATGGGTAAAATCGAACATAAGATTACTGACTCATAAGTAGTCTTAATCGGTGTATTATTAGATTGTTTTACTATTTATTGCCTTGTGAATGTAAAGTGATAAATAACTTTCAGCAAAAGTACGAATATTTAGCACATACAATTACAATGAAAATCATGTCAAACGTAAGTATTCAGCTCCAGCTGTTCAACTAAATCCATTTCTCGATTTACCAGTATAATTCTTATCTAGATCTCATAATTTCACACAATTCACTTTCGATCACTGAAAGTAAGTGTGTACATTTATGGAACGCTAGTCTAGTTACAGTAGCATATAAAACAATTAATGAACAACGTAGGATTTAATCAGTTTAAACTAACCTACGTTCAGATGTCAAATTTATAGAGAATGAGGTTGAGAACCGCACATCTGAACCACTTTTATATACAACTACTTTTGTAACATTAAGAGCTGCAATACCATTCACAATTCTGTTGATCCAATATGTAAAGAATGAACAACGTCTTTCAACCGGACACATATTGAAATTAAATTCAAACGGTCCTCCAGTACACATTTGTTTATATACATCAGTGACACTTGGAGAAATTAAAGTCCAAGTATTTGTAAGAGTTGTAGTAAATGCCTATGTTTAAAAAATATCAAGACTGAAATTACCACGTTGTATGAAAAGAGTTTTACAATTAGCAAGAAAATGTTTTACAATCCCGAATTTAAAAATTGCTTGGCAAAATCACAGATTAATATACATTTTCCTCACTCATACAATTATGTACTGTACTTATTCAATAATATGTTTCTCATCTTAGTATCTGAAAAAGAGATATTCCATGCACAACATGTTTAATTTCAACAAAAACATAAGATTAATGTATTCATAGATGTATATTCAAACGTGAATGTCCAATTACTTACAACATCATAAACCGATTGATGTTAGATCACAATCGTAAACCTGTGAGCACTGTACAGCCATTTGTCCTAGAATGGGACTCCTCATCAGTGAGTATCCACGGTCCCTCACGCGGGATTAACGCCTAACTTAAACCGTACACGATGTTGCGTGACTATCTTGCATTGTATTCTGTGAGTAACTGTCTCACACTGCACTATTAGAAATTAACATTGTTGGATGCCCGCCCGGTGGTTTGGAGGATGAGCGTTCTCACGCGAGACAGAAAGCATGCGTGAAAGATCGTAGAGACGCCCTGTTAAGTTGAGTACTATGACGGAACGGTTGTCCAGTCCTTGCAGGTTTTCACTTGTGGTCTAACATCGATCGGTTAATAATCTCGATAAAAACTCAACAATCTCCACGACCTTATACTGATAATTACAATTAGTTAGGAAATAGTGTCATGTTTTTTAGTAAATAAATCCTAATTAAAACCATCTTTCAAACCAATGAAAATTATATGAAATTTTGGTTACAATCTCATTAATGAACTTAAGTTAATATGCCATTTTTCAATGTCATTTTTTGTCAAGTGTGTCCTCTAAAACCTGGAAATTGTTTTCATATCTTTCTTCGCATGAAGAAAGTTTAATGACATTTTTATAAAAACTGTCAACGTAATCTACATGAATGGAATATAAGAGGAGATATAAAGTGTTTTTTAACTGTTGTTTCATTGATTAGTAAGTTCAAGATTTTACGGAAAATAGTGATGATTCTAGAAGACTAGATGACATTTACGAACCATTTCTTAAGCCAATGTCTTAACACTGTGACAGTGATTGAATTTTCATCACTAAAACAGGAGTAAAATCCTTGGATATTACTTCAAAGGAAACCCTAGTGGTAGAACGACATACGACTGGAGTGGATTATTGTTCATGTGAGGGTCTATATATGTTAAACTACTGAAGCCAGACGTCTTCATGAGTAACTCTTCCTGTTACAAATTAGTCCATTGGTTAGGAAGCTAGCTGAAACACTTTGATTAAGGACCGATCGCATACAGTTTGGAGGACAACCTCAGGTTTCTGGAAGTAAGAAATCAAGTTAATATGTAAGACGTTTCACACTTCTGACCTATCGTTACAACTTATTAACGTTACTTCATTTAGCATTGTTCGCTTGAATCTTGCCATTGATGTTTTGGACTGCAATTGATCAGTCTCTTGTTGACATATGTGCATCCTCTACGGATTGTATCTGCATCCAAGATTACATACAGATACATCCAGCTGACGAGTCCCAAACAGAACGGAACGGGCGTCCTGGATTCCACTGCTTGCCACCATCCATCATTCCTTATTAACATTACTATTAAAAATATATGACATAATTATACACAATTTATGATCTATAAATGTATTCTAGGCACGATTCACAGAGTTGTTAAGGCTGTGACTTAATACATCCATTTTTAGTTCACCAATGAGACGAACCGTCTAGATCCTGTGTATTTATAAGTTAACATTCGAGATGAGTTATTACTCAAGTCTTCCTTGTGAAACTAAGAAGAACAAAATTACGGCATTGTACGCATGATGTGATGTGATATGATGATGATGATGATAATTTCATGTTTCATTGCGAGATAAAATCATAGAAATATTCTACTGAAATGTTACAGTAGGGCTCAATTTAATATGGAAGCGACAACTGAGAATGTAAGAAAATGATTTAGCGTAATATTAGCGTATTCTGCTCAAATTATTGATAAACCTGTTAAACTTGTCACAATGTTGTCATGGAAAATAATGATTGTCCTCTGACGGATGGTTTATGTTTTATTCTCATATATGTTATTACCTTGAACTAATTAGACTTATTAACTTGCATTTAGCTGAGGTGAAAAACGAAATACAATTCATATTATATTCTGCCAGTTATAAATTGAACCGAACGAACAGCAGAAAAACTTAATAACCGAATTATCGGCCATTTGAGAAGATCCTCTAGTGTGAATAACGATTTTATGCCAGAATTCGGTACTGATTGTGTTTGACGAACTATCAGCATCTAATTACAACCACAGATAAGTGGTATCCTCAACTCTATCATTTCTTAAAAGACCTCAATAAAACTACAATATGCATCAACAATATGGATAAAAGTTTTATCGAGTCTACGTAATCTAAACATCAGGGTCTTGCTTGAAAATAACACTTTAACCATTAGTATTGTATACGGATTCCATTAAATAATGTGAATAAGTCAAGTAACAAAGTTATCTAAATGTAATTTGAAGTAAGTTGAATGGAAATGTGTACTCTGACTTACTGCTGGAGCGGTGGTAGTAAATATGAAATTACCAAATATAGAGATTGAATTAACTGTCAGATTGTAAGTGAAATTGACCAGTGGTCTGACAGAATTTGCAGTGAACATTGGGATACGGTAAGTCAACTGATTTGCTGCCGAAGTCGTTTGGTCGGTTGCAATTCCTATAAACGTAAAATACAAATTGACAGTCTAATTTCCTAATGAGGCGAATTTGAATGCTTGAATTTTGACAACTATCAATTTATTACATCTACGTGCATCTACACAAGAAAACATAGTTCTTATTGGGATCGACAAACGACAATTTCATACGAAATGGATATTATTACACTCGACCTACTACAAACATAACTTTCTTGAAAATTTTTCACTCAGCTGAAGGAATATTTGTTTGAAAGTGTTCAGATTGTTTGATTGTAAAATCAAATATTGATATTTTATATGATCAATTAGTAATGTTTAGGTATATTAGAATACTGTACTAAGTTGTAACACATCCACTAGTTTTCAAGTACGTTCGATAAACGAAGGAATTCCTCGTCAACTAATCTACTTTCAACTATGCACCAGCACATATGCATGCGAAATTATCTATTTAGAAACAATTAGTACCTGAAGTTGGATTTCACATTCTATAGTTTCATTTCATGCCTCACTGGACAGCATCAATGCAACTCCCTGAGTGTGAAGAGAATTTCCCTCTTCATGATCAGAGTATAGCAGCATCTCACTCGTATCTATCTTCTTCTGTGCGGATTGGATCCAGTGGGCTTCAATGATTTCGAGCACCGTCAAGTTGTATTTCTTCATTTCTACAGCTATTTGAATAGTCTTCTCGGTCTGCCACATTGTCCGGACGTTCCGTGTACCTATAAAAATTGTTGCTGTGGTTGTTAGAATGAGCATCGGTCTCATGACTTCCGAAGAATCTCGGCCTTCACCACTAGGCTTCATAGTTCTTCTGAATGAAGATACTTCAACTCGGAGAGCAGAGTTATATGGCTTTAATTTGTCTATTCTGATTAGCGTTTGTTTTCACAAGGTTGTTTTCTACGGGATTAGGTTGCCGACAATGATTAGTCAATACAGTTGTTGTTACAAATAAAACAGAAGTGGTATGAAGTTTCTCAAGAACGTTCACTTTAAGTACTGACTAGAACTGAATCTATTATATCAGTCTTATGACTCATCATCATTATTTCAAATAAACTATTGCTATATTAAACCAGATAATAAATCTTTTAAGATTACTTAAAGTAGGCTAGTATAATTACTTTTCAGTTGGAATAATTCAAACTAATCTCGATATAGGAATGTCAGTGGGAATATCAATTAATTCTTTCTGGATAAATTTCAAACTAGCAGAGCATTGTAAATTGCAGGCTTAATACTACCGTGTTCATAAATTCACAGTTTGATTAAGAGACTCTGACAAAATTATTTTCTGAGTTCCACAGATATTGATGGTTTTTGGAACTTAGATGAATTTTGTTCTCTTTGGAACAATAAATTTAAGGAATGGTAGACTTGATCGCAGACACTAATTACAATTAAAAATATGGTCAAATGATCAACAATGGAGATGTTTTTTTCACAGAAATATCTATATAAGTGTTTCAACGAAAAGAGTAGACAGGAAATTATCTTGATTTACTGGCGAACCGTCACTAATTTCTTGGAATTCTTGAACTGAGTTGAAATCGATTTACTTTCACTGGATTATTTAACGGAGGGAAGCACGTTCTGCAAATTAAATATTTGAGTGTCTTGATAAGTGTAGTTGATCGCTTTATTATCAATCAAAAATAAGAACACTATAAGTAAAACAGTGCAGTAAATGTTAACAAACCTTCGTAATAAGCTTTATCTATACTGATATAAACCATATTTTCCGACGAGTTCGAAACTAAGCTGACATATGGCAATGATGTTGATTGGCTTAGCATTATTGGCTTGACTAATATGTATTCTTGGTAGGCACCTGGAGCATAAAGTTGAAAATATATCGACTGCCATACATTGGGTTTCAGAGTTAGCGTTAACTTCAGTGATGTTAAATAGTTCGGTATAACTTGATTTTTGACTGTTTTTGAATCAATAGAAATTAAATCAACCCCTGGAGCCTGACTTGGTGACTTAAAAAATTAATAAATGAAAATTCCTCTTATACTCTGTAAAAGTTTAAATAAAATGTGTTATGAACTAAACACTTACAACTTACCCCTATAATCACGAATTAATAAACTCGACAAAAAAATTACAATGTTCTTCAGTGATTTCATTCAAGATGAATTTTAGAATTTCCTGATGGATCCATTAACCTGTCATGTAAGTCAGTCAGGGAGTCAGGTTTGGTGTTCAAATCGAAAGTAAATCCTCATAGGATTAATATACGAGGTGATTTATGGAAGAATATTATAAATTAATGAATTTTCACTAATAATTTAGTAACATAGTGTGTATCATAAATGCTAGGTATCCAGTATTCAATATTACTCTGCTTTTGCTGGTTACTGAATCATCATACATGAAAGTCGTCTTCAAATTTATCAAATTTTACAACACAACGAAGTGAACAACCTGTTGTACATCACTTCAACCTGTGTATGTATGTCACGTTGCAAAAATCATACTTGTTCTAACCAGTTATCAATATTTGTGTAAACCTAAATCACAGCCAGTAGTTTATGGTAGGGTTAACAAACTGAAGTAAAGTTTAAAGTAAAATTCAATGTAAAAAATATTGTTTGAAGTCATACCAACACAGTAGAGTAGTTATCTCGTGGAGTAATAGTTAATGTTTTCGTAAAACTGGATACACCAGAGGTAAATGTTGATGTGATTACTAAAGGCTTCGTGGTAATTGGAATTATCGAATAACGCATTGCAATATCACACTGAGCATCTGTACATGATTCATTGAAGTACACCGAATTTATTTGCAATCTAGCCAAATTACTTTGGTAATCGAGAAAAGGAAAGTAAAAGAAAAGGAAGAAAGATTTGTTGATATTTGTTAGAATTACATATATACTGTAGTGCAGTATGAAATTATTTTTATAATGGTTATTAGGGATGAGTTGTTGTTTCACTGAAATATTTTGATAATCACAGTAAGTTAGCGAGCAGAAAGTGCGTAATTTCACCACATTCATGAGTGTTTTGCCAAAAGTGTGAACAACAAATATAGAAGTAGTTATTGAAGCTGGTTAGGTTCAATTTTCATTTTATTCATGGTTCATCGAAATGATAGTAATAAAAGGATTATAAGCAAAGATGAATAGTGGCTAGCAGTGGAATCCAAGACGTGCGTTTCGTCCAATTTGGGACTCGTCAGCCGGATGTACTTGCATCTTAGATGTGATGTTCACTCTGGGACTCTAACCCATTGCCGTTCGCTTCAAACGCCATCGTGTTATCCACTTAGCTACTGAGTCCTCAATAGAACGAAACGCGCGTCCTGGATACCACTGCTAGCCACTATCCATCTTTGCTTATTATGCTTATGAATTATGGCAATAGCAAGACAATACGCACAGTGTGCACATATGCCATTAAGAGACTGATCAACTACAATCCCACACATCAATGGGAAGTTTCAAGGAAACAATACCAAGTGAATAATAGGATGTTTTAATAAAAATCATATAGTATGTGCCAAGTTCACTTTGTCTTTACTCAATTAACTTTTGAGAAACATTTGGTATACAATCGGCTACGCATATTGTTAAGGATTGTGATAAGGCACATTTTGTAATAATGAAAATAATAATGTTGATACGTCAAACGGGTTTGATCAACAGTGATTCAGTTATGTTCAGTCTTTTCAACGTATATAAAGGATAACGGTCAGCATCATGGATACTACAACATTTATATATATAAATGAAAATTGAATATTAACTCGTTATAGATTACCTACATTTAGGTCCCTACTACAGTGACTGGTAATTGAATGTATGTGGCAATCTACAACCCCTACACGTGTTGAATTCTTAACGAAAGTATGGATTAACAAAAGGATAATAATGTACAATTTCTATATCCTGAGACTTAAAGTATTTTCTCAAATATCTAAATCTTGTCTATCGGAAAAAAATGTAGAAATCAAGTTTCAACTTCAATATAATCTAACACTCAGTGGATATTTCTGAAATGATAACTCATTAAAATATAATGCATTTCTTTGCACAGAAATCTACTGATATGTGAAATGTAATTTGGAAAACTGATAAAACAAACTGACATAGAGTTCTGGATAATACATTCAGATTTATTGACGAATTATGCAAGACAGTCTTTGAGAATAATCTCCAAAAGTTGAAAGTTTGATAGATATTGTGTATTTCAACAAGGGATTCTTGTTTGAAAATAGTAAATTACAAGTATTCGTAGTTAGTTCAGCTCACGCTTGATGTCGCGGAATTGATCCATATCCGTATACTTGATTTTTTGTAACATTATACCTGAGTATATATATGTATATATAATGAATTACGTATGTATATCTACACATATATGACAATACGGTTAATAATCAAGCTTACGGTTTTACCGAAGAATAATAGCTCACAGGTGCTACAGCTTTTAATAGATATCCAATTGTTTGAATACACTGCCTGATTATAATTGCTTCATTTGAATTTACTTGTAGTTGAAAAGTTATCGGCATGTAGACAAAGTCTTTAGCGAATTTCACTCGAACTTCTACAATTGTACTAAAGTTTACTGTTGGTTGTGAATTTCGTGGTTCGACTTTTTCAATAGTAACTACAGGAGTTTTAGAGACCTAATTTCAAATAGTGTTTGCAAATGATAACAAAAAACAATTGATTGAATGCAAAATTGTGAGATTGATTAAATGCAAAATTGAGATTGATTACAATTTAAGTTTACATTTACATGTAGTTTATATTTGCGTTATAAGCATACGACTGAAATGATTTGCAAGGAATAATAAATGTTAGACAAACAGAATGACTGGTTTATTTTTAGGTCTGATTTAAACTAAAAGTGTTTAGGTAAGTAGGACATCCAGATTTGGTTGAAAATTACCAGAAGCTAACGTAGTGTAGTATTATATTTCATGCTGCATTTATAAAGCTCTGCAATTTAAACTGCTCCATGCTAAAAAATTGATATTTTTGTATTTCAATTGCTATATCAAAAGGGGCTCACAGATGATCCACTAAAATCCAATATTGACCACATTATTAATTCTATCCATGAATTTCATTTTGATGGTTTGTCTGGTGTTACATTTGAATCGTGATTCAAGAAATACAAAGATGTGTTCAGGGTCGACCTAGAAAAATTTGACGATGCCGCAAAGAACAGAGTACTGCTACGCAAACTTGGTACAGCTGGACATGAACGCTACACCAACTTCATTTCCCTTAGAACCCCAGAGACTTTTCATTTGATGCAACGGTTGTAACTTTGTCGCAAATTTTCGGTGAACAGTCATCTTTGTTCAATATTCATTACCAATTTCTGAAGTTGAATAAAGCTGGAGACGATGGCCGGGTGCAACATGCTGGCATAGTAAGCGTTTCAAATTATCAGCAATGATAGAAGACCAGTTTAAGTATTTTGTTTTTGTATACAGCTTTCAGTCGCTTGAAGATGTCGACGTCAGAAACAGAATCCTGAGTAAAATTGAACAGTGTCTAAATATGGCGCTATAAGAGGTGACTAGTGAATGTCAGACGTTGATGAACCTAAAACATGACATATCTATGGTTGAAAACAGGGGTTGGCCACCATACGTACAGGTAATAAATCGTCGGAAATATTTTTTTGTACGCACACATGACAGCTGAAACAAACAACCTCCACCGCAGTTCTGGTTATACGGTGAGTGGCACTACAAGAAGATTTTCCCATATAAAAACTATCGTTATACTGAATGTCATCGTAAGTGTCATAACAAATCCAGCTGTACAAAAAAACCCACCGTCTTTCTTCGAAAACCTATTTCAAATAAATACAGATCTGGTGCGATAACTCACAAAATATTGATATCTCAGACCAAAGCACGAAGTTACCGCCGAAGAAAGTATGTAACTTTGGATATTATTAAACAACGTACTCGCCTTCGACTCGATACAGCGTCTGATGACACTCTCATCAGCCCAGGAACTTGGAGACATATTGGGAGTCCCACAGTTCATCCTACAACACAACTAACGCACAGTGCATCTGGTGGGAAGTTGAATATTTTTGGAGAAGTACTGTGCACTTTTTCTAAAAGTAGTATGACAACGAATGTAACAGTATACCTTAAAAAGAATCCAGCACTTGACTTGTTTGGATTAGATCTGATAGGCACGACAACTAGTGAAAAATTTGATCAACAACGTCTGGAGTCGAATCAAAATGATAACCCATTAGAGTGGAAGCAGAGAAATGCTGTGCTACAAAGACACCACCACGTATTTATAGAAGGATTGGGAGAATGTACGAAAGTCAAAGCAATACTAACCCTCAAACATATTGTTTAGATGAATTAGTAAATGAAAACATAAATCAAGCTTACAGGAGTAGTGGTTATGGGTTGCTCCATAGACGTTATTGGAAGCGTTACAACAAAAGAACATACAGTTGATGATCCAGAAAACATCCGAACGTACGTTTGTATTGTATCACCCAAGACGTAGGTGGTATCATACAATAATTTCACTCCGATTTGGAAATTATAAAAAACATTCCATGGGTTATTGTTTCTAAATATACCGATTGTCGTTGTGCCTGTTGTTCTTCGCCCTTGAAATACAGTGTATTCTGTTATTAGCCTGATCTGTAATGTTAGTTAAACAATCAAATTGGCATACGATATCAAAACATTTATTAATGTCGGATTACTCGATAGTGATGTGATAGTTCTTTGTTTATGAATATCAGCGGAATCAATAGGATACCGTTTAACATCACTGAGTAAAGAAAATCTATACTTTATGCCTAACTTCGAGAGAAATATTATTGCTCAACTTCCAGCAATCAAACTAGCAAGAAGTAATACACACAAAACACTCTACACATATACGACATGTATTGTAATGACAAGATATTATGCGCTGTTCAGTCATGTGACATATAAGTCTTCGGGTCAAATCGATTATATGTACATAACTCAATGTAACTGATCCTGTGAAGATGGATACATGACTAAGTAAAGAATGGAATAAATCTATTGAAAATCCATAATATAATTAGACACGTATTATCAGTGGAAACTCATCCATAAATATAGAAAACGTAGTAAAATATGAAACTACGAATTTCTGACATGTATCTACCTGTTCTTCTTTAACCCATTGATCATTACACAACCTCCTTTATTACTTAAAATATTGGATCATTACATGAAACAATGAATTTTATTGATATTGAAGAAGTATTCCTATTTATCAAGCAGACACAGAGATGAATGTCTCACTCCGAATTCATTGAAACTTTAATTCTAATCTCAGTAATAAGGTGTTCGAGTAAATTATACATGAAGCTCATCATCTGATTGAACTTCTAATAACAATGCACAGAATGAAAATTATCCACTAGCCGTTATCTCATTGTAATGAAGGATCTATGATGTTTGTAGGTAATTAGTGGATGTGTTAATCAGTAAATAATTATATATTCTCCAAACATGTTTCTAGATAATAGTGATATTACAATGACGAGATAAGCTTGTTCATTCAAATGATTTTGATTTTAGCAAGATCTTTGAAACAGACTAAATTGTTTAATGACATTCATTTTTATGTAATTAATTCATAAAACTATTAATTAGTTAAGGATCAGCAGAAATAATGAGCAATATTTGTCTACAATGAACATTGAGAAGTGATGCCTGATAGGCGGAAACTATTAACCAAGAAACGAAATTGTCAAGATAATTATAACTGTTATTCTGAATTAGGTTAATTATAATATGCGAGTCGACATTCAACTTTATCTGACTGTTGTAGTCGAATAATGGCAAGCCAAATAGAATTGTTATCAGGGAAAATATAAATAAAATCCAAATGTCTAATTCAAAATTTATGAGGAAGTATGTTGTTATTCCACTGAATGTACTAATAAATGAGAATTTGATTACATGTGTTCTTCCATTGCAATAATAATTATAATAATCATTATTATTACGTAGTGCAGACAGACATCATCAGTGGAGAAACGTGGATCTATTCCCAAATATGTTGTATACACATATACTCATTAAATTAAGATGTCAGAAACATTCGAGTGATAAACACCTAGACATAGATGGGCGTGGTTGCTACCATGCGTTGCAAGCCCAGTCATCTCAGTCATCTCTCTCCAATAGTAATCAAAGTTTTGACAGAGTAGATGATTAGTCTGATTATTGGTAGAGTGGGTAATGTGCCAGGTCTCTATCTAAATTTTGCAGAGTCCGTGGTCAGTCCGGTCTCTTCTGTGTTGCTTGCTTTATTTCATGGGGAGAAATATCAGCCCCATACACTCCATAGGATATATATATATATATATATATATATATATATATATATATATATATATATATATATATATATATATATATATATATATGCAATCACCCCAGTCCGTAGGCTAACAGTTTTTCCACTGAATGAATGTATGCTGTTTATGAAAGACTAGAACATATTACATTAGTCAATGACACACTATGTAATATAAAACAAAAGTATTTATCAGAAATCCAAACTCTCGGTATTTAGAAAAGTGTTAAACGTTCACTCATGCACTTTCATGAGAAGAAAATATGGATTATATTCTCAAATTAATTCAGATATTGATCAGTTGAGCAAGGTCTTGTTAGATATTTTCAATGACAATGAAAACCATCAGCAGATGAGCAGTTGGTATACCAACCAAACTATGATAAAATGAATGGTAAATTTAGTGAAATAATTTAATTTCTATTACTGATATTTACCTGAGACCACAGTAAGTAAATATTAGCGATTAGCGAGGATTTGTTGAACACAAAACAGTGCCCATTAACATCACTGAATTCGTGATAAATATTAGACCTGCATCCTAAGTGGTTTAACGTCTTAAAAGTTATATGCACACTAAACGCTCGATAATGTAACTCATTATCTGAATAATAACTTCAAAATATGCATTGAGATACCACTGTTTAACATATTGTTATATTATTGTTACCACGCAACACACTAATTGATTTCGGGTTCATATTATCGAGCTGTATATTGTAAGTACTCAGTGCAACGAAATTACCAAACAAAGAATTGAAGATCGAGTGGATTATGTTTTTATTCAGTATGAAAATATAATAACAGACACATTCGATCCAGACTTCTTCATTCAAGAAGAAATGGCAAAGCTGAGGAAACTGGATTTCCAATTAAGTAGTTATTCTTCTGGTGAAGGTGAAAGGGATTGAAATAGTCATAAGATATGTTTCGAAGTGAACGACTTGATACTAAATACGTCTCATGACTTGATGCACAATACATTGATATCAAGGAATACAGGATTTTCAAACAATCCTTTTGATGACCTCTGCATATATTGATATTTGTCATATGAAAATCTCATCCAAGAATATGTTACAAAACATGATAGCTGACGGTACAAAACCAGCATTAGTCATTTTAGATCAAAGATGAAAATTGAACTTGTTTGATCATGTGTAAGCTGAAGAGAATAAATAAACAAATGTAGGTCTGCTGGGCAGTTATTTCAATCCGAAAGGTTACTACTATTAGTGATATCTATGATTTCGGAACATCAGAACTACTGATATTTGTTTGTTTGTACTGAAGTTCGAATTTTCGGGGTTTACTCATCATATTTGATTGATTCATCTGGGTTGATTCCTGTTGATCAATTCATATATATGTCGCGATTGGAGAAAAGGATGATGATAGAGTGCCAATCAGAAGTAAAACCATTATTTACTATTGTCATTTGTTAACAGACTATAATTGTGGATATGTATTAATGCAGTCAATTGTGACTTTGTAGCATTGGTTATGGTTTATAATTGCTGAATACAAAACTGTCTCCTGTATAATGATTTTTTGTTTTGATCTTAGCCATGTTTGGATAAGTTAAAGGACAGTGTTGTCAAGTTAATAATTGATTATCTGTAAACCAGCCGTGATAAAGTGTTTCGGAAAATGGCTGGATTTTACCGTTCACGTAATGGATCGGTTTTACTTGAACAGCCACTCAGTAGTAGAAAGCATTAGGAAGATGCTTTGCACTGGAATGGCACTTCTCAGCATGGGATATCCATGGCTTGAGTGTGAACCAACCCAGGACATTGAGTTATTATAGCGAACACTTAGCCTTTAGGTCACTGAGTTGTCATCCGACGGTTTGCATGTCTAACATAATTTAAGTTATGATAGTCCAAAGATGCCATCCGATGCCGATGTTGAGTACCTGCCTTACAATCGACATTGTTAAAGAATGTTGCGTGATAATTATGTCCCTAACTAACGAATTGTTAAGTTTGTCTTACATTGTTCCTACTCGACCCCTTTCCACTCTTTTGCAAATTGTTTTATACTACTTATATACATTGAGTAAGCAGTTTGTCCCCAACAATTTTTACACTTATGTTGTAACGCAAGTTGTAGTGTGATATTCTGAAATGTTCACATATACTTATGATGCTTATTGTATTTATCATTGTATTTATCATTATAATCACTATACCTTAATCACTGTAGCGGTTATCCACAGTTTTGTGCATTTGTTTAAACGCAACAGTTTCCATATTGTTTTGCTCTTGGTTCGGGTTTCGATTGTTCATAAGATCTTATCAAATTTAGACACAGCTATTAGCTGTCCTTTATACTAAGGTATGTTGTAATTATTCTTCATGTTAATGTTGCAGGAAGCCTTTTTATGTCACACTTGAAGGACGCGCTCGAACGCCCTAGACACCTCACAAGTTGAGGTTTGTAACTAAATGTTGTGTATTATTCAATAAAGAACCGCTATTGTAGACAAATTGTTGTATTGGAAACTTCGGTTTTGCGCGTATCTCAATCAGGTGACTTGGACGCTTCGATAGATCTAACAACAATCAAATCGTTGCTTAAACGCCAATCACAACAATCTGATCTGGTCTGTTCTCATTGCACTAATCGAATTGGTTTTACATTTAAAACAGATCAAGTTTAAAGACAAGTTGTCCTTGTTCTGACCATAGATTTCGTATTGACTGGTGTCTTCAGTATCGCGTTTACACTTCTAGCAGAATATCTGGCTTCTTATAATGTCCCTTGATGATGATGAATAAACACTGTGATAATCCATCAGTTTGGGGTTGGTATTTCTTCTTTCAATCCCTTCCTACCTAGTTATGTTTCTTGTGAAGTCTTCTAAACTGGTTTTATTATCAAGGTTTGACTTGATAGTTGAAAATAACCTGTGCATCAGCTGGAATGTTAGTAATAAAGTGATAGTATATTGATCATAACCCAGTCAGTAGAAAATCGAATTCCTCACGTTTCGTGACTGTGTAAACCATTCTTCAGAGTAGACAAATAAAAAAGAATAACCGAATCAAATTTACACAGTTTTAGATCGCATAAAAGAACACGTCAAAAAATTAAGTTTATTATTTTATACGATTTTAATCTGTGTTAATTTGATTCGGTTATCTTTTTATTTATCGACTCTGAAGGAGTGATTTACACAAAGTCCAAAAACGCGAGAAATGTGATTTTCTACTCATCGGGATATCATCAATATATCGTTGTTTTATAATTTTAAGGTAATTATTTATCCTCAGGTTAGACGTCACTAACTTTAACTGTTTATTTGCTCTTTCTGTGACGGGATGATAAACTTTATATATCAGTTTATTAGCAACTGTCTTAATTGTTTATCAAATATGTATTAACTTACTTTTCTAGATATTTTCCACAATGTATCGACCTTCCAAATATAATCATTTTTCTAGAATGACTCTGTTTCTTTAAATTAACCCGTTAACCACCTTTAAGTGATCAATAGATTTGACCACCATAGTCAAGTTGATGGCATCTGACATACCCTTAGCACGTTCATCTTACTTATCTGACTTCGTAAGAAAATAATCATTTTAGTGATCAGTTTCTAAAGCCATTAAATTCCTTCAAATATAAATTATGATTTTACTTTCTCGTCTTTTCCCTAAACTTCACTCAGATAGTGCACGTTCTTCTGTATTTTGAACTGGATTATGTATGATGTAATCTATTTCTAGAATCCTGTCTCCGCCTTTTTATAAACATTCCCAGTTAAACTGTTGGCAAAAACTGTATGGATAATATTTTTACTTCTTTCAAAATAACTGTCTTCCCACTAGTGTACATCTACGTCGACCACGGCCCTAAGAAAGACATCTCTTATATAAAATTTGGGTACTTAACTTTTTCATAGAATTAATATAACGAGGGAAATATGTTGTTAACGTATTAGATGAATAAGCTTTTCTATTCATGTGCAAACAATTTGTTATCCATTGTAATAACCAACATACCAGTCTTTATACCTTCACGTGGATTGATGAAATAATGAGGAATAGATTGATTTTATTTGGTTAATCAGATAATTTATAACTAAAGGATCTTGTGGGTCTCAACTGTTTGACATTTATACTTTTTTCGGATCGATCATTGCTTCATAGAAATCCAAAGTTAATAAAAAAACTGAAAAAGGTGTTTCAATTAAAAATGAGTTTTGATTCTCCCTACCATTTACTTGTTTATTGACTTAAGGAACCTCAATATAAAGTGATAAGTAATATAAATAATTCGAATACAATCATACCGAAGTCAGTGATCAAGCATCAGAAATTCTACTGTTATTCGTGCTTTGAAATTTCTGAAAGAGGTTTGTTAAAGTAAACACGTAAAGTTTGTACTCCATTATGAAAATCTTTTAAAAACCACAGAAAATTGAAACAATCATTATGATATTTTAAACTTACTTTCTTAGTTGAATTATTTTCTGTTAACAAGTAATCCACGGAACATTGTTCCGTATTTAGTTTACCAGTATTAGTTATATAAATACTATAACGTGCTGTCGTAGAAGGCAGAATACTCAGTTGAAGATTAAAGAATTGCAACTTTTCAGCTTGATTCACAACTGAGGTATCCTTTGATGTTAAGTCACTTTTCGCAGCCTATTCGTTATAAAGGAAGTTAATATGTTTTGTACTGACAACTTACCAAATTAGGACCTGCAAACGCTATGAGTTGGCTCTCACAAAAATTCACTGTAGAATTCTTACCTAATGGTGAGATTTTCGCTTCAAACCTAACGGATACCAAACTTGGTCTATATATCTGAATAAAAACTGTTAGACGAACTGATCGATTCATCATTGGCAAAGTAGTGTCATAAACACCTAAAATATATTTTAAATTAAATTAGAATATGTACATATGAATATAAAATAAGACTTGCTCGTCCCAATAATTCGGAAAAGAAATATTCAAAGTAATATGAAAACAAGACCATTTTGTGAAAGAATGCCTGTCGACGAGACTTATCAGAGTGAATCTCCAAAGTTCGGCAATGAAATATAATGAAAAATAATGGTTTAGTTTTTTTGTTTTTTAACACAACAGTGAGATCGTTTTGAAAAAATGAACCCAATGAAAGCCAAACGATAGCCAACTAAGCGTAATTATATGCCTTATAGTTGTTAGAGCTCTAGTGGCGAGTGATGGTAGTAACCTTGGGTAAATTAAAATTATAATCTTCCAGTCTGACTGAGTTTAACCGCATCAAATGTGAATCAATTTCATTATAAATGACCTTAAAAAAATCTGAACCGAATTTCCAGCCAGTTCTAAACTACTTAGAAAGCAGCTTTTAAAAATGAGTAGTTTATGAAATCATAACCTTGAACGACGTATACTAGTGCAATTCACGGAAGCCTCAACAAAGCATACAATGAATATACTAATTAATTTTTGTTCAGGAAATAAGTTGGACAAGAGATATTTGATTCCAGTAAACAGTTTAATGATAAGTGAAATGTACAAAGTTTAAAAAATAACAACAAAATAAAAGTATCTACGATGATCCAAACATGTTAGTAACTATTTGATAGTTGTTAAATTCGACTATTGATCACAACACGGTCAAATCATACTATTTTTTTCCTATTAAATTTTACTATGACAATAGGAGATGGCTGTAAACTAGCGAAATCAGAAGTCAGGATTCTCGCAGTGTGAATAAATCTATATTGATTTCATAATAAGCAGCGAAGAAGTACTATAGTGTGTTTTTGAGCAGAATGGTGACAGCACATTTTAGAAATTCTCTCAATAGAAGAATAGAAGTTTTAATACAAGTCTATTACAAAATAAAATAGTGTTACAAGTAGCAGGATTATTCAGAATTTAAATGCAATCACACAAGAGCAAATATATCTGATAATGAATTGTATAACAAACTGTCAGCAGATATTATTTGGTTAGTAGTAAGGCAAGGATTGGCAAAGCAAGGGTCGCATTCCTACAATTGAAGAACATATGGAACTCAAAACAACTTTCAACCAATATAAAAGTCAGAATCTTCAATACCAACATCAAGGCAGTTCTACTGTATGGAGCTGAAACTTGGAGGACTACAACAAACACCATCAAGAAGGTACAAGTTTTTATAAATAGCTGCCTTCGCAAGATACTCAACATCCATTGGCTGGATACCATCAGCAACAGCCTTCTGTGGGAGAGAACAAACCAGCTTCCAGCTGAAAAAGAAATTAGGAAAAGACGATGGAAATGGATAGGACATACATTACGAAAATCACCAAACTGCATCACGAGACAAGCCCTAACTTGGAATCCTGAAGGGAAGCGGAAAAGAGGAAGGCCTAAGAACACTTTACGTCTGATAATAGAAGCATATATGAAAAGGATGAACAACAACTGGAAGGAGCTGGAAAGGATTGCCCAGGACAGGGTTGGATGAGGAATGCTGGTGAGCGGCTTATGCTGCTTCACGAGGAGTAACGGGCGTAATTTAAGTTAGTATATTGTAGTATTCGCTCTTCATTTGTAAACTGATATATAATGTACGTATGAAGCTCAATTATCAGTTCTCGATTTCGTTGAGATAACTGTGAAATCCGTATCATACTGACTGGTAAAAAAAGTGATTCACCGAAGAAATATTAACAGAGAAATAATTATCAAAAGGTTCAGGTGAGCTCAAAATGATTATTAATGGAAGATATCTATAATGCATAATACCGAAATGCAGGTAGCAGAATAAGTGCCTAAAATCATATCATCCACTGCCCTAATTACATGCAATATGAAAATTCGGTACTTGTGTAAATAAGTATCATAAAATGGAAAGGCACTTGTTATTGTTTTGACAAGTGCATACTTAATTTCATAAACATGCGTACAGGAAAAGATGTAATATTTAGAAAACACAATATTTATGAGAACCACGTTTTGAGAATCGTGGTTGGTTGTGAAACATCAGGAACTTAGTGTTATAAAACACAGCTACACTGAACATAACTGTTAATATATGATACAGTTAACAATATGCATGGTTTAAACTGAAACAGGGTGTTTAACGTTAGAAATCATTGTACGGTGAACTTACCTGGACTTTGTAGATTTGAAACACTAACGTAGCCAATGGTAGTCAGTACGAAGTTATAACCAACGAATTGTTGCGTATCTATTTTGTAACCTTCTGGGTATGTAGAGAATGTTGTAGGTAGCGCCAAAGATATATGTCCAATCGAAGCACTAAACTCATCAGTCGTGAATGTGAACTATCAAACAATTTATTAGGAAACAACAGTAAGTATTTTTTCTGCATGTGGCTTTGAGGAAACAAATGCGTAACTTTTTGTATTGGGTGAGCATACAAAAGTCACATTTCTACTATTTTGAAGCATTACGTAACTATCGGCACTATGGCTGATATTCTCTCGAGTATCTGTCATCAAAACCTGACAACGTTTCTATTCACTTTGTAATTTTGAAGTGTTCACCAGCACCCGACATGTTTTAAAAGTCTCGTTTAGTTCTACTGAATTTATCATCACCTTTAGATTACAGATTTTTGTACGAAAACTAACCAATATTAAATATTATTCGAAAGAGCGAACTGAAAATATGTATAATCTGTACTGAAGATTGAATCATAAGTGTTACTGATCACCAAAGGAAATTTATCGTATTAGCGAAATCTGAGAGGAGGAAACAAACAGTTTTTTTACTGTCAGTTAAAACCTGGATTATTCTGATAACGAAAAAGTGATAGATTTAGGTAGGATACTGACTGTTAACAATGGCCAATTTTGTAAGAGAGGTTTTGATATAGCTAAGTGGATAAAAGCAAGTCTAGGTGATCGTTAAATAAATTTGTTACATGCCTTGTCTTCGAACGATGAACATCCTTTTGATCCTCAAAAGACAATAATATGCATTCATCTAGTTGTTGAAATGTCTTATGACATAAAGCTCCATATATTTTCTATTGTTGATGAACAAATTAATTTTTCGTTATGAGGTACGTCATAGTATGTAACAATTAAGTCAGAAGTCATATTATTTAACAATTTTTTTCATAAGACTGCAAATTGTCCAAGTATAATACTTATCACTCACCACGTAATCGCCAATGGGTCTGCTTATAAAGTAGTCCACAGAATACTCATAAACCCCACCTACTTCCACTTGCGGTGGGCACTTGGTAAAGTTAACTGAATCATATTGAATCGGACAGTTCGAGGAAACTCTCATGGGAATATCTACAGTAATCTTTGGAGTCAACAACGCCTCCATTCTGACTGTTAAATTGGTACCTATTGGTGGAATCGACATTTGAGGGAAAAGACCAACTTGGAATCGCATCCTAATACTGAAGTCATTTGAATCATTGGTAGGAGCGGATGAAACACTTATTTGACTTGTCATTGTGAACTCCGAAGACTACGGAAAACAATTAACAAAAATGGATTAAGGGCTGGAATTCTCACGAAATTCTCCATTTTTATATGTATAATCTGGCACCGAAGATATGAGTTAATATCAACTTACGAAGATAAACCACTGCAATTTCAAATTAATTTAGACCCATTCACAGAACCGATTTTAAGCGATGTTGAGTCATTTGATGTGACATTTTTTATCATATATTTCCTCAAGTTTGTAGATTGACTACAATTATTTGGTATATCAACTCACCTATAACCAAAATCTAATTTATGGAATAAAATAAGGCAAATATAGAAAATCAGAATTTCTATCTATTACTGCTCCTTAAAATATGAACCTCACAAAGACATTTCTACATCTTATCTGATCCCTTCTGCTTTAGTTCTTGTATTTTCCCCTCCTTCGTCTCTCTAGAACTTTCACTCAGTGATGACTATAGTCTTATATTACAGTGTTTTCTTTCTTCTAATCTTGTAAATTATTCTGTTCTATTTACACTCACTTTTCAAATTCATACTCATAATGGAACTTTGTATTCAGGTTTTCGATAGGTTATTAAGATATGGAGATTATTGGATGAGACGTAAATCAGGAAGGTTTTTTAAGCGAAATTGAATTAAATTTTATACAAATTAAATATCCATTGTTATGAATCTTCACAATCTCACTGTGAGTATTTAGAAGTTGGTTTTAACTATTTAAAAAATTTTTTTCCTTTCGAGTACATAACCAGCATCAGCTGGTATTTGGAATGTTCTGATATGAAACAGAACTATGATATTTACTCTCAAGCTTCAGTGAAATGTGGAATAAGTCGTTGCACATATCGGTTTACTTTCCATAGTAACTTTTAACTAGTACAATATTTTTAATTACAATGTAAGATATATTGAAGGCCAAGATATACCAGCTTCATGAGAGACTGTTAACTTAGTGTTATACCTATACAGAAAGTGAATTCAGAAAACCTGACTGTGTCTACATAATGTAATTCTAACTATCTAGAAATTTTTAATTTTTATACACATTTGTTGTCTGTTAGACGAAGTGTATTTTACTATTAGTAAACATGAATCGAACCGGTCTGTTTATTATGTTTCCATGAGAAACGTTTATGTATATAACCATGTGCTTTAAAAACCTACTAGATATGCTTCATTATTTTCTGAAGTTCAGTATCAACGGATATCCACAACCTAGAAACCTCCAGAAATTTTTTAACACATCACAACGAACAACCTCTAGTGACAGCAATCATGAGGTGTCATACGTTTATTTACCTGTACCTTCCTTGTTGCACATACATTTACAATCTCTAACAGAAAATGCTGTAAACAGTAAAATTAATCATACTACATTCATATCCTTACCGAGGAATTATTGTTCAAGTATGTGAGATTACTAAACTTCACAGGATAATTATTTGCTATATTTGAACCGTTGTAGTACGCAAACAAATATTGTATATATCCGTAATAAACATTATTTAGAGACGGGCCAGAAAATTTCATGATTAAACTATGATTTCCAGGTGGAAGGACAATTACCGAATCAATAAACCATGTATCGAACAGACAATAATTTGGATTATCCTGGATGTATACTCTGGAAAATGTGGCATTGATAGTATTCGGTGGAACTATGATGCCCTATAAAGAAGAAAACATGACATTACTCATCTGGAAACCTCAAATCAATTATTTTGGCTAGTACACATCATGGTTCTATATCTTACTGTTCACATTTGCTGAATCGGATCACAATGTCCTGATGAAAACCTTATCTTGTTTCGTTAACATCGGAATCATTAAATCGAAGTCATCAGTGAATGAAGGTTGCTATCTGAAACACCACAATGTTTTGTAAGATAAATGAATGTGAAATACACACGAATTTAAAGACAATTATGCCTACTTATAATTCTTACTACTACCATTATTTTAAATAGTTTTCGTACTTGGAAGTTAACACTTTTGGCAAAAATGATTATTTGTAGCGTTTTATGAGAGATTGACGTTTATCTGATTTGGAGGTTGTTTCCAGTGGTAACATACCACTAATCGTGTTGATATTCCGTTGTTGTTGTTTAAACATCAAGGCTCAGAACTATGAGATAGGATTTGAAGAACCATTGATCATATTGCCATGCTTGTTTCAAAGAAACAGGCTACTACAGTGTCAACTGAAACAAGTCATGAATCTCTTTCAGTGACAGTTTACCAATTGTGAAATCAATGACAAAAACTGCACTTTCATTTTCAAAAAAATACTACAATAAACAGAGATCATACCCTCTTGACTGCAGTGATTTCACTTCCTGTTTCTTCGTCAGAATACTCTTCATCAATAAGAATGTTGACCGTTGCATCATCAGATATATTTAGTGAAGTATTTGCATTCCTAACTGTCACTTGAAAAGTGATGCTGTGATTATTCTTCATTGTTTCATAATCGCTTTCAATTACTTTCAAAATACCAGTTGTTCCATCGATAGCTACTGGTAAGTAGTTTGAATCAGGTACAATGTTAAATTGAACACTTCCACATGATGCTAAGGAGGAGTTTTCATCACTCAGAGAAAGACTACCAATCAGACTTCCATCGATCCAGTTAGAAAACTTGGTTTCGAAGGTGAATACTGTCTGATTGAATTTTGGAATTCTATGTACTAAAATGGTAAGCATATAATCTGTACAAAGTTAATGTTTCACAATATGTATATAAACCAGAAATGAATTATGAATCATGGAATGGACGATATTTCTTCAACTGTAACCAATGCACAATCCAAATGATTGAACGCTTTTACAAATGGATGAATCAATTCATGAAGAAATTTTGTTTAAGTTAACCAACTAATGATTTTCCAAGATTTCCTATAACAAGATGCGAAGTAAATTTGACTACAAGCTCATCAAGAAATGTGAATTATTATCCATTCAGTGTAATGTTTATTTCTTATACAAGTAATGTAGTTAATGAAGAACTCAGGTGCGGAATACCAATTTATTGTTCAATGCAAAATTATAGAGTTACATTGAATACTTCATTTGCAAATCCTACATCATTTATCTTTACATCATTCATGATTCTTCCATCTCTCAATCACTTCATTCTTCCCCCATTCTGTTTTATTCAGTGCTATTTTTTCAAGCTTCTTTTGACAGACATTCAACTTGTGATTGTTTTACATACTACTTATGTGGACAGGGATCAGTAGAATACACCACAGTAAATCTTGTGGGCTTGAGATAAGAGTCTTTAGCATCATCTTGATAAGGAAATGATAGAATTTAACCAAATATTTATAAAATCGAACAGAAAATTATCTTGTTATTAGTAATATTGACTAGTTAAACCATAAATGACTGACTTACCTCGTTCTTCACAGGTTTTCCCGATCCAACATGTATTACATACACAGGTTCCATCAATGCAGTGACCATTAACACAGTTCCTAGTCAAAAAGATTGTGTATTGCGATCTTATACACACCAGTAATTTAGAATATGTACATAAGTGAAATTTGTTATGCATATTTCAATAACTTTAGTTTTAGTGTGTGGAACTGACTTGCAGAAAACCATTAATTTGCTATTAAAAATCTGTGATTTGAGTCTGGAGATGAGATATCAAGATGTATACTTATTACAACAAACCTTTATCGATACATTAGCTAAATATACCGGAATTTGTACTATTTTGATATGACCTGACCATCCCAAAATCGTAATTTGATGAATATCTCTGCACAGTTTAGTACTTCTACAAGTTTCTCCATCTTGCAAAGTCGATAAATCGAAACTAAGAGTAAAGAGCTTTGAATATGATTTCAATACGAAATCACTGACTGTATTTACTACACAATCAACAACAGATAATTAAGATATACGGTTTGTTCATTCAGTTCAACCACAAACGAAACCGAAAATAATGTCAATAATTAGCCCGAAATTTTTGAGAACTGTGCTCAGCTTACTTTTAACTACCATTCTTATACGCAATTGATGTGATATTCCAAACAAACAGAAGCGTCAGCAAACATGCTTATATCAAGATAACGCATTAGCATTAATGGCTGACTAAAGATCAACTAAGTTTCACCCTTGTTTTAGACAGTCTAAATATTTCAAATTGCTTTTTGTATATTACTGAACAGTTTTCGCACTTACCAAAAATATTGAAAGTATTAAAATCAACAGTCAGTGAAACTATGGATACACTATTTCGAGAAACTTTATCTTTAGCACTGTCTTTCATTGGACGTTATATTGAAAGTTATATCATTCAACTGAAATGTCTCCAGGACAATACTCTTAATTAGTTTAGAACCGTCATTTAAACTAATCAAGTCGAGACGTGTTTAGTAGTTCTGATTACGTTCATCTGTTCTATGGGCTTTCCATGTGTTAGTTTCTAGAGGTGATCCTTTCCTCATTTGATTTTTTTACCAAGTAGTTGCCTGTCTTTAGGCTCAGTTACTGGTTTAAATAGACTGAGAATATGTTTGTGGTTAGTTTGCCCAGTAATCATTTGCAATTTAGTTCACGTATATCGAATGGTAGAACAAACCTGTTTGGGACCTAGTATTGATACAGAAAATTGAAGATATTGCTCTACTACTTGTTTGTAGCATAGTTTAATTTGACTATGATTATAGTTGACCACTTCTATCATTTGAGTTATATTAGTTCAATTGGATTAGTGATTGTGAATTCTAGACATAAATAGATAATAAACGATGTCTATACTGTATACCACAAGTGAAATAAATGTCTTGTCACTGCTCAGTAGAAATAATTATACCACATTTTGTGTTACTTATGCATCTATATCACACAGAAATTTGTTAGGTGGTTGAAGATAGTCGGTAGGAAACGCTGGTTGTGTGTTATTCGGGGCTTGCTGGCAGCTAAGTAAACCATAGATTTAGTTCACCATTAAGAACTAAACATACATGATATTAACGATTATTCAGTAACCAATCAGTGTAAACAGATGACTACAAATGAACAATATTAACAAGAAAGTAGTGATACATAACTGATGTCGACTGAATACACTTTGTCACTTATCTTCTGATTCCTGTTTATTAACAAACCTCTAATCAACCAAAAACACTTAAAGAGAAAAATATAAATATTTATTACCATCACGACTATGATCAAAAACCATTAATATTCTTTCAACAGACTTACGATGAATTATTTTCACACAATTTTGTGGATTGTTCAAATGATCCATGAACTACTGAATGCAATATATTAGTTTAAACCTAAACAATCACGCATCAACTTACAAACAGTATGAATCAGTATAATGATCAAATCTGTTGGAATTCTTTGATAGACGATCATTATGTATGAATGTGAAAATGTAAGTCAAACGAAGGTGATGATGATGATGATGATGATGATGATGATGATGATGATGATGATGATGATGATGATGATGAAATTTTGTGTTAAACTTTGTTGAAAATATTTTCGGATGATTTAACTAATTTCAGTCAGTAGCTAAATTAATTTCAAATAAACCTAAATTTATTTAAATAGTTGCAAAATATGAAGTCGTTTCAGCCAATCCGAATGCAGTCACTGGATTTTGGGTAGTTACACCTATTTATTCTAATCCCTAATAACAAACGAAACCTGATGACAATCCACATATTTGTCATATGAATGGATTTTTCAACAACAAAGAACTTGAACACTCCAATAGCAAACATTATTCCTACATACTCTTATACTGACCAAAAACATGAAGATGATTGACAAGTCATTAGTATTTTGGGCGATAGTGAGTTGAAAGTATGAAGTGAACCTGAGACTGAACTGTGATACACTGTACTACATGCAAAGTTGTCCTTAAGGTAAATGAAAAAACTAACACTTTGGTGACCAGGTGATTGAAAATAACAATGTTTTACGTTGGCTTGATAAGTGAACAATACAAAATGGTGTTCTGTAAGAGGTCGTTGATATCGTGTTTTATTTAACCCAACAATTGCTCTTTACTGAAACAATTCATATCTGTCATATTGTAATAAAGCATTGTTATTATTAAGCGTGCACGTAATTTAAGGACAACAAATTGAATAAATATAAGCCACCGGTATTTAAGCTTTTCTATTGTATATCTGGAATGCTTCAGTGAATAAGGGTCCTTTCACTATTATTTTCATTATGTTTATTACGTTACGGAGACATAGTAATTGAAGTGAATTAACTCTCCGTGTCACATCTTGGAACTGTTTGTAATAAATAACTACAATAAGGTACAAGAATTAAGGTGACGTACCAACATGTTAAACACACCCTTTATAATAGTGTGGTTAAAACTGTTGTTTGCTTTTAATAATTCAACTGAAAAATGTATTTATATGTTCAATTAATTACAGTCAATTAGTTCCCATCGTTTTATTGCGAGTGTGAATATCTCAGATGCACCAATGTAGTCGAACTAAGTGAATTATATTCCAGTTGAAGGTGTTGATTCGACATGTCTCATTGAAAACATCGAGTAATGAGACAATGGTCTGCATTCTTGCTCAGTTTGAGTTACTGAATATATCATGTTTTTATTTGTGTAAGAGTCCGTTAATTCCGTTTCATTGCCTTTCTTTAGGATTTTGATCGGGTGACTTTCCTTCCAGTTTGTTGGTACTTGTTCTTCATCCCCAATTTTGCAGAAGACAATGTTGAGCATCTTTGGAGTTACTGCTACGTCTGCTTTCACTGTTTCTGTTGGAATATTGTCTGGTCCCGCTGCTTTGCCACTCTTGATTTGTCTGATGGCCTTGATGATCTCTTCAGTTGTTGGTGGGCCAACTACTTCGATGTTGGGTGAGTCCAGTGGTGCTGGTCGATTCAAGAGTTCTTTGAAGTATACTACCACCTGTTTCGCTGACGATGACGATTGTGTAAGCAGATATAATTTTCATTGTCAGTGTTTGATTTGAAGTATTCATGTGTACCCATAGTGAGAAGTTATCCCACCTCTGTACTAGTCAGTACATAGTTTCTCAGTATTCGTCCTTTACAGCAATTTGTTCAGTGGCGACAGTAATAAGACAGATAGATGGTCAGCCTAAAACCCATGAAGTTACGTTCTGATTTTATGTGTCTGCTCAGTGGGCACTTTCATTCAGTTCGTGTTGGTATCCGTGAGCTGTGTTGTTTCATTTCCTTTATCACAATTTACTCTACGCTTACTCTCTAGCTTACAATTTTGAGTCAATGATATGATTACACGACTGCCTTGAGTATTGATAACTTTACTCACCACAGAACAAGATGAAAATGGAAAATACTTCTAGACTCTTCAGTTTCGTATTTCATATGTTCATTTGGTTGGTGAATGCATTATTAAAACGTTTAGTTGTAGTATGTGAACAGAGTGTAACGAACTATAAATTCAATTTTTATATATTTTCAAATAATTAAATAAATTTCGTTTGTTAAGAACTAGACAATAAGTAAAATTAAGCCCGGATTTGTACAACCATTTTCTTTCAGCTTGTTTCCTTATTGTTCGCGTTTCATCTGCTTTTTTGAAGAATTAAATGATGATACTTGAACAAGCAACTTCAAGATGTTTGGAAATTATACTGATTCATATTATTTGTAAGTTGATATGACTAATGCTTGCAGGTTTTTTGGCGGTCTAGCTTCAATTGACTCAT